GTTTAAGCCATGTCTGTTTGTCTCTCTATATAGACGCGAACTGGTGCCTCAGTGAGATATCGACCTGAAAATTTGCAAAAGTGCTTTTCTTTAGAAGAAGCTGTTCATTAGTTCGAACCGCTGATATCGTAACACTATAGCATAAAGCTGCCATACAAACTGAACGATCAGAATCAAGTCCTTTTAGAAAATCTTTTTATTTGACGAGATATCTTCACGAAATTTGGCACAGATTATGGTGCAAGGCAACGTTACTATCTCCGAATATATTGCTTAGTTCGGACCACTACTGTATGGAAAACTTTTTTACTTGTGAAGGGTATTTAGCTTCAGCGCAACCGAAGTTAACGATTTTTTTTGTTACGTCTAAGCTTTTATTTAATTTAATTTTCTAATTGAATTTGTTAGCATAAATATATTTTTCACTCTCCCACACACACAAACACTTGTGCAGTTATTGATTCAGTGACATTTGTCTTGGATTCAATTAAATTAGCAAATGAATATCCTTTTTAATCTGAAGGCCGCACAAACAAATACTTGTATGCAGTCATATACACGGTGATGATGTGCTTCAACTGTGTAGCTAACTGTAATTACTGCCTAGAGTGATTTATGTTTCAATTTCGCATTTTAATTATAATTTCATATTTTGTTTTGCGGCTTTGAAGCTTTTTCCATTAATACGCGTACATAAGCATATTGACGACGACGTGTGCGCTTTTGAGTATTTATATTAGTCGATGGGTAATGCGAAAACCTCAAATACTTGGCGTTTCAATTACCACTACCTTAGCTTCGCTTCGTTTACATAAATTTTCTTTAGCAAACAGCTCTCTATCGCTTCCGTTTCACTTCCTTTGCTGACTTAGTCATTCTTCATTCATTTATCATCATCCATTTTTACCGCTAACATTATTCATTTCCATTTTGCTTGCATTGAGCGAGATGACTCAGCTTCTTACATGTTCATCAAAAAATTTACAGCTACATGTATTTTTGGCTGATAACATTATTTAACTTCGTAAAAAATATCGTCAATGCAGAAAAATTAGATTTCATTTATCAGAATTAGCCATTTCTTTTCTTTTCTTGATATTCTTAGCTAATCGTAAGACCACGGTAGAACTTTTGAGTTATATATTACGTTTATAATCTCAGTTTGGTCAAAGCTCGCTCCTTGTGGTATACTTTATAGCCTAAAATAATAGGTCTAGTAAAAAGAAATCCATAATTTTTGATATAAATTTGAGATCTTATTTAGCATAGTTAGAATGCTCCGATTTCGTGAAAATATGCCACGTTTTGTTTACTGGTTTACTGTTATTTTGAAGGTAATTTCATAATGCTGCTCCCAAAGAAACCTTCGTTTCTACTGGCAAAAACCTGAGACAGTCGATTTTCACAAGCTTCTCTTGAGGCATATTTTTCACCAGCTAGATCATCGTCAAATCAATCGTCATAGACAGAAACAGGTAGTAATCACTTGATGCCAAGTTCGGACTATAAGGTGTATGCATAAGAAACTTCCAACCAAGCTCCCGAAACTTCTGACGAGTCACAATCGCTTGTGTGCGGCATGGCGTTGTCCTGTGGAATTCAATTCCTCTCTTATTGGCCAAAGCTGGTCGCTTTTGGGAGACTGCTACCTTCAGATAGATCCAATTGTTGACAGTACAGGTTTGAATTCAGAGATTTTTAATATACATGTCAGCAAATTAAATATTTTGTTGTCAAAACTGACTAAAATTGTACAACATTCTTCAATTACATGCCCTTATGGCATACAACCTCTACACGTTAGCTTTGCTTTGTTTGCCTCGTCAACCTCATTAAAATTGCGAGCGTGTCGAGTGACAACGAAAATGAAACCAACTACCATAATACCTGTGGGCATACCGCCAAATATAGCGAGCTAACCGAAATTATGATTTTTCCGCAAAGAATTTCACTTAAATAGTTGGCAAGCCTAAAAGTATGCTTGCCGTGAGGGAAATGTTTTTGCTTAGCTCTGTAGCGGCATACATTTATGCTTATTTAGTTCACTGACTGCACAAATGATTGCGGTTTAGTGTTTACTGCTGCTGCTGAAAGCCAGTTTTCATGTGACTTTTGGCATTAACTCATCATTAGATATACTTCTCGAATTAAATGTCTATTTAGCACGTTGTTGTCACATACAAACGTAGTGCGTACATTTCTGCACGTATACGTGTACATATTCGTTGCATACTTCGCCGCACACTTGTCATTTACATAAATGTAATACTACATATTACTGTCGACCGTCAGTGAAGTTGAGTTGTTGTGTAAATAGCTGTCGTTAATGACGCGCAACATGGCACATTTATCGCACACAAGCTGACATACACGCGCAGAACTCACTATCTCTCTCTCTATCTATCACTGGCTGCCACTAGTGAGATGTGCTTTTAGGCGTTTTAACTTAGCGACGTGTCTTTCCACGCTTTCTGGTTTATACACATTTCCCCTTTCGGTTTCCTATCTCTGCAATTGTTACCTGTCGTATCTAATATCTGAATTTTTGTCACACCGCTTCCTGGCCCAACTGTCAGCCTGTCATTTCTGCTATCCTACATATAGATAACCTTATTTTTTCATCATATATTTGGTAGCGCTGTGTCTCTCAGTCGTTTTTCCGTCATTACTGCATGTGTCAGTGGTTTTTTTGTTTTTGTGTGTGCCTCTAATGGCTTTAGGTTTGGTTTGTGTGGTCTATGCGCGTCGGCTTTTGGTCTTATCTCGGTCGCGTTGATGACGGCTGACGTTAATTGGGTTTAATGATGCGTGGTGACAACAGCGCCGCTTCTTGGTGCTGGCGCATGGCGCAGGTCCTTGTAGTGCGAAAAATACTCCGCTGTTTTTGTGCCTTTTGTTAACCGTTAATTCTATTGGCAAATTTTTTTTGTATATTTTTTCGATCACGTCTTTGCTTTAACCTCAGCTTATCGCGCAGTTTTCTGTTTTTATTTTATTTTTTTGTTATTTTGGTCCTTGTGTAACGCTCAGTGGTCTTGCTGCCGCGTAACATTGCCGGGCATTTAAAGTTATTGATAAATTATGCAGATTATTTATACATTTTGAGTGTGTGGAAATAGTTGATCTTGGTTTGCTGAAGGTCGAATATTCTTACGCAGAAAGCAGACTTATAAAATATAAAAAATTGTGTACCAGCAGTAAAAAAGAGCATAAGTATAGCAATAAATCGTGACTGTTGCTTGTTGACCGAAAAAAGCCTGACTATTTGTCTCTATAAATTAGTGGTAATATAGCTAATGCGGTAATTTGCGGTATACACATTTATTAAATGAATAAGTCAAAGCGGTTTGAAGGCACAGAAAATATCTGTCAATGGCTCTTTCGTACTTGAGTAAAGCTATAAATGGAAATGAGGGATGTAGTCCTCGGGTAAGTCTCTTCTGAAGGTTTTCTAAAGCTCATTCATAAATTGCTCATTTGGGTAGAGGAGACAGAATCCAATGTATCTTTGAAAATATCGCGCTCCTATAGGTTTGTCAAAATTAACCTTGAAGCCTTTCGAAACAGTAGAAAAACGATAATGACATTTACTTTCGGTTCAGCCCGAATATTTTACCCATTATGTCACAATATTTTTTTTTTTAATTCTAATCTTTATTTAAGTTGGCTTAACCGTTCATCAAAAGAACCATTGGCACCAAAAGAAGCGTGCTCCTGGGATAAACTTAATTAAGAGTGGTCCAGAACGCTTGACGACGATAAATATGTTGAGTTATTTCGAAGTAGTTAGGTATCTCAGGGTTAAAAAATGCGTGACCTTCGCATGAACCTAATTCAGGTTCCTAAAGTCTAAGTCGACGAAACTTCTAAAGCTATACAGTATCGGTCGCTGTTTTGGCGATTTTGGTTTCAAAGTAGTTGAAGACCTATTACAGGGCTTCGAATTATTAAAACATGATTTCCCTCCAAAACAGATTCGGTTCGCAATATTATATATACGCGGAAAAACATATGACTTGCTTAAATGAGAAGTATTTCTCGTAAAATTGTCCAGGAGTTTAAATTTATGTCTAAGTTTTCAGGACTTTTGTTTGTCAGAGTAAGCATAAAGAGCACATAGAGGGTGCATAAATAGAGCACATTGATTCTGGTTAGGTTACAAATCTCATAATTATAGATCAATTGGTTTTTGTCGCTTCCTTCAAGAGGTGTATGCCCCATAAAACCGTGTAGGAGTTTAATCTTCAAGCACAAGAATAGTGCCAACTCCATACTGCCACCCTTTCGATCCAAGAAAAGAAGAGTATCATAATTTTTCGACTCTATACAATCCATGCTGACCAATGAGAACCTCTCTAGAGGGAAAGCAGAGCAAAATAGTCTAAATCACCAACTGCTACTAATACTACATTGACATTCATCGGACACAGGGTTGCAGTGCGCGTAATCTAACAGCTCAATTAGAAGTGTGTTTAAAGTTTACTCATAACCTATTGCACGGCAGCCTTGGCTAAAGCGAAATTGTAATAGAAATGCTCAAACTCTCAACCGCAGATGGTAAACAATTTAATTGAGCGGATTAAAATGAACAGCTGAACATGAAAACACGCACACACTCACTAAAATACAAAGAGTACTTTATGTATTTGCTTTTGTACCACAGGGAAAGACACTTGCAAGCAAACACAGCACTACATTTACACTCAATTAAATGCCATTATAAATGAAAGTGTGTAGCGGTGCTAAAAGTGCATGCATGTGGGGTATATGTGTAAGACCATGAGTGCTTTTGACAAATTATATAAAATTGTTACTTAGCTTAGTCTTACAAGTAGACACACAACTATTTGTATATACAATTTTTTTATTAACTTAACCTCATTTCCAGCTCGCTGTTACTAATTGCTCCGCTCATTTCTTATAATCACATACAAGATTTCTGATTATCGTATTTTTTGCTATGCTACAATTTATCTTCCTTTTTTGCTTGTCCATTGCAGTTTCGCCCGAGTCCATTGTGATACCCATCGTTTCGTGTATTTTCGGTTTCCCTATATTGGCATTGCTTGTCATCTGTTGCCTGCGTCGTCGCGCGAAATTGGCAAGGGAACGGGATCGTCGGCGTAATTACGATATGCAGGACCACGCTGTGAGCCTGGTCAGATTTAGTCCCATACATAGGCTTAGTGAGTTGTTCGGTGTTGTGTTGGAGTGTGCTTATTTATAAACAAGGAAATTTTAAATAATTTATTTTAAACAAAGAAAAAAAAAATATATATATATAAAGAAATAAATAAAATATTAAAATATAAAAATTAAACGTTTAATAAATAAATTTACAAAAAATAAAATATTAAAAAATTAATAAATAAAAATAAGTACACCCCTAATGTTGTGCTACACTTTTCTTATACTTTGCAATTGTGCATTTTGTAAGTAGCTGCCAATGCTTGCTGCACTATTTTGGTATTTTAGTACAAAAGAATGATTAGAAATTTAGTGTTAGGTATTTTATGAAAAAAAACATTGCACGCTACCATACCTAGATTTATTTTTCAAAATTTTACGATATCTTACACTAACTATGCAATAAGTTCTCTATAACGTATGCTAAAATAGTGGCACGCGAGTATTTTAGCGGTGTGACAAACCTTGATTTACGATGTTGGTTTGGAAATAGTAATAAACATGATTTGCAGACAAATAATAAAAATATACGATAATATATTTTTACGATATGTAATATTTTTTATCATGATTAATTTTTTCGGTATTAAAACAATGAATATTGAAATTCAAATAGTTTTAACAAAAACTACGATATAATTTTTTTACGATATTACATTTTTGACCGCAGAATACTTAGTATATAAAATTTTAACTCATTTAAAACTCACTCTTATCTACGAATATTGTGCATTAAAAAAGAAGCAATCTTACTTCTTAACGGCAGTTAATGTTGATACAAGTAATTTTTCAAGATTATGGTATAAGTTTTGTTTTTGCGATATTTTGTATTTACACACTAAATAAATTTGTGCTTATCTACAGACAGCAATTGAGCAATACATAACTAATTTCATCAAACGTTCAATTTTAGGTATTTTAAAAGCGATTCTTTTAATATCTCAAATATTTATTAAATTACGATATGATATTTAATTACAAGTTTTAAACCAAAAACATTTAAATTTTCGCACATTCCAACTCTAAATGTTTGAAAATGTAATTTTATTTACAAATTCTTCATTAATTTCTTTTCTTTTGAAACTCTGAATGTGATATAAACGAAACATTTTAGTGTTCAAGCGAAATCTGTTCTGTTCGTAAATTTTATTTTTAAATTGAAATATTTTCTAAGGACAGAAAGAATTCATAACCTTTTTGTAGTTTTAAGATTTTTGTAAATTGAAAATTTTGATAGATTTACGATCATTTTCATACGATATTACATTTACGAGATAGCGTTTTAGAAACAAAATTTTATTTTCGTCATACAGTTCGGAAAAATATGGAATAAAACCATTTGTTTAAGTTTTTAAATAGCAGCGATATACGCTATTAATACATTTTTTTTTTAAATAAAATCAAATGATGTATTTTCATATGCTTACTGAATTATATTATATATAACATTATTATGATCTGACACATAGACAGAAAGTTTTTCTAATTTACGATATTATATTATATTTAAAATACTTTATCTATCAACTAACGTGTTTTCAATTGAAAACTGTATTATAATAAAAAATATACTGAACTGCACTCATTCCCACAACTTCATTGCCATTTTCACAGCAGATATAGTTCTCAATTTATATATTTATTGGCTGATAGCGCCAAAAAGTATGCTTTACCGTCTAGCACGCCTTTATTCAATGCGTTCAATTTTATTATTTTTCATAAAACATTCATGTCCCCCAACAGGCACTTCCGACATGTCGAAGTTCATCTGCTCAGCGGGCTGTCAACGGCAGACTTGCCAAACATCGCCAACAATTACAAGTACAACAAGTGCAAGTAACTGCCGCTTGTTGGCTGATGACTCGCGGCTTTTACCAGCACTGACAGTGTCGCTTATTACGTGTGGCGTTGACAGTGAATTTCACATTTCCATTTTTACGGCTGCCATTGGCTGTGTGCGTGTGCGGCAACGAATAGTAATCGTACAGATCTACTTTTAGGCGCACGTACGCACGCATACATTAAAAATGCCATTTTTGTATTCCCGACATTTTCAAAAAAAATTTATTGCGCATTTTAAAAGGTTCTCATTTCCGAATACTTGATCGTCATTGAGAATTTAAAGAGCATACGAATTATGTACCATTTTTCGGCAAACAAGTGGCACTTTTAAATATTTAATGTTTTTACTGAATTGAAATTTTATGCATTGTATTTAAAATGAACATCTACTCGAGTGTCTTTTATTTTTCTCAAGCATTTAAACGGCTGATATCTAAAATTTTCTTATACTTTTTTTGTTACGTTTGTTTCGTATTTAAATACGCAAACATTCTCAATGATTTCTGTTCATAATCTGCCCCATTTGTACTAACATTTTAATATCGCCTTTTGTGGCTCAAATTACCTTTTAAAGAGCCTGATACCAACATGAAAGACATTATACTTTACACTCTTGTTCACCTTTCGTATATACCTTTCTTCCATTACAGTTGCTCACGTTTAGCAAATAGCATTTGCATATTTGAAATTTCTTAGCAATTGATTTATGATTATTGAACTTCGCAGGTGGCAAACACGCTTTTTGTCTACATTCATTTCTTATATGCATAGACATTACGACCAGTTTTATGAACTCTTCAAAGCAGACCGAGTAAGCGACCATTTTACTCGGTTAAAGATCAAAGAAAATGTTTGTTTTCTAAAAAAAATTAACGTAAGGGTAGTATTTTACGCATACCACTTAGGAAAACGTTACGATATTAAATTTTAACACAATATCGTAAACGGTTTTCTTGTTGAATTACTGTTGTAAATACTAGTATCGATTTAGAATTAACGGAAAATTAATTTTATTTGCATACAATATAAAAAAAAGTTACGATATAACGAAGTCACATAATAACGTACACAATTTTCTTATTTTTCTTGTTTAACTATTGTAATAAACATTAGAATCGATTTAAAGGAAAATTAATTAACGATATTACTCTTACAATATATATTTACACTTTCGGAAATCGTTACTGTACATTGGTTCCTCTTATCAAAACTAAACAAATATAGTTATAATATATATAATATTATATTATAATATATATAATATTATGTTTAAGATATTAAAGCATTGCTTACGTTCTAAAAGGAAATTAATTATTTATTATAATCACATTCATTCACCTGGCTTTAGTAAAAAAATATCACAAATATATTAAATTTCTTATCAAATTGGTTTATTTTAGAAGCTAAAACAAATTTCATCACTCTTAAATACAATAACGGTAGTTTAAAAGAAAAACTTATTTACGATATTAATTTACGATGTCAGGAAAAAATGCGTGAACTAATATTCAGTTTTACAAGTTATTATCAAAATTGGGCAATGCACCAAAAAAAAAATAACAATATTAAATATTTTACGATCTGTGATGCCTTCTAAATTCTTTTTCTTACTATTGTAGCTTTTTTTGTTTCATTAGTTTAATATCTGAATGTATTAAAGGTCGTACATATGAAAAGCCTAATCAAAGCCAATATCGTAAGTCAAGCAGTTTGTATGTATTTAACTCATATACATGTGAATGTATGTTTACACTCGCATATGCTTCCTACAAAATATTAATTATTTACATTTTATATTCCCAACGCCTTTCCATAGATTACCGACCGTCGCGAGCTATCAGTCTACGTCCTGAACGAAGCCTGAGCCAGGGTTTCACTTCCCTGGAGCTCGATACCGTAGTGGAGGAACGCTGCAGTGATGTGGAACAAACGCAAACGGAAATACTTAACGCCGAATCACCCATGGAGACGACCTCCTCATACCGGATGTCCTTTTCAAGCTAACAATTAGCGGAAAAACAAAAGCTACAACAGCAACAACCACAGCAATCATATTTACTACAAATTTCTCCAACAACCACAACGCCCACAACCCCACAACCCGCAGAAAAAATTACACACAAACGCACACATTCACAAACGCGTTTCAAAATACGCAAAACCGAATCGGTGCAGGAGACCCAATTGGGCGCAACACCCACCAACAAACGTGCCACCAGTAGGAAACGCTTCTCTATGCGTAAATCACGTTCACTTGACGCGGAAGCATACACGCTGGCCTGCGTACAATCGCCGCTCTGGGCGACATTAACGAATGCCCGTACAATCAATGAAATCCTACAGGACGATTACTAAATGAGGTGACAGCGAAGCAAGCGGCTGTTGAATAAAAAAGCAACCAAACTACATAAAAAAAATGATGGTGAAAGTTTTGCTTGTCTATCGATGAACAAGCAAATTTCCAGCTAAGGCCATTGAAGGTAAAAAATTCTATCATATTTGGCCTACATCCCCTCATCGTAAACGTCTTAAATCGAGCAGGAATTTACAATTAATTTGAAAGAAGAAAGTAGCGCGTCCCTTCCAAAGAGTATGGGTAGTGTAAAAAATATGTAATTCAGCAGAAATTCAATTGCCTAAAGAGGCGAAAGCAGACTTATTAAAAATTTATTGTTTTCTGTGTTGATATTAAATAAATTGAATATTAAATATTGATAAAGTTGCAATGTATTGGTAATAAAAATTTAGTAGCATAGTGTAAAAGTAATTTAAGAACAAATGTACTAAAGAATTTACTAACTAAATTTGTACTATATAATTTACAAAAGTTATTATTTCTTTAAACTTATGATACATTTATGAACAAGTGGAACATCAAAAATATGAGTGAAAAAATTAAAAAATAATAAAATTTTCGCAGCTAAAATCCCAACATAATACTAAGCAACGGTGTTTTATTGCAAAAAGCTGGATTTTTTTATAAATGGGTATGGTTTTGGGTAGTCGTAGGGAGAAATACATAGAACTACCAACATACATACATTACTATTTTCAAATATTCTCATATCTTTATATATATAAATCTTCATTACGTGTGTTTGTAATTGAACTCCTTCTAAACGGATTGACCGATTTTGATGAAATTTTTTGTGTGTATTCAAGGGGGTTTGAGAATGATTACACAATTCGATCAACTAGATAATGTTTTAACAATGAATTTATTTATTTATAAATTGTTGTTGAGCGTTTTAAATAGAATTCCGGCAGACTGCGCTGCAGTCGTGTCCGATATTCAAAAGTATATTTGAGTTTCAGTTGAGCCTGGTAGATGACGCTGAGATCAGATTCTAAGATGTATAGCTTAGACTATGTAGACTATAAACATGTATATGGTGTATAGTGTCTAAACATTCATACTGCTATGCTACTCTGTACGATACATATCTGAATGAAGATTCATAAAGGATAGTTCGGCTGAACACATTTCTTCCTTTTTGGTACATCCATTAGTTTCTTCTTACGGATATTACTTTATTTTGAAATTTGTTACTGTTTCGAAGTACATATTTTACACAATTCTTTATAAAATTTTTTTAACCTACATAACTATCCTAACACGTCTTTCGGATCCGCTAGTATTTATAAAAAATCTTCGACATATAGTTTTAGGAACTAGAAGAAGCAAGTTTGACGATAAATACAGAAACATTTATAAAGCATACGTATTGCTTTAATTCAAAAAATATAGCCCCTGAAACATTTATAAAGCATAAATATTGCTTTAATTCAAAAAATATAGCCCCTGGTGCCCTGATGGTGTCTCAAAACTAACCCACATACTGATTAGTCGTAAACGTAATCATATCGGTGAGGATTTCCAAAAATGTTCGGGTATTTCACATACATACATTTTCCGACTTCAATTAGTTTAAGGCTTTCGGACCTTGACTCTATGAACTTAGAGTATTTTTAACCTTATACACGATAAAGTCGTTCTAATAAATGTATATAGTTAAACTTGACCCCACAGCTCTCGGGCTCTTATCAGTTAGAAAGGATATTCGGTTTGAAAGTAATATGTATATAACACCGCTAAGCTTTTGCAAATGCTGCTATTAATTTTTTTTTAAGCTACAAATGCAGGGCTACACATCAAAATACAAAAATTTCAAAAACAAAAGAAAATAAATTTTTAGAGTCAAACTGTATTTAAAAGCTTTAAAGAAGGAGAAGCAAGCTTTTATACACAGCAAAGCTTTGAACATTAGATTGAAAAGCGTTTCAACATCATTTTCATCATCCTTGGAGCTTTCATAAAGTTACATGAACTTTTTGCTTCCTGCAGCTTTGATAAAGCTCGATAAATTTGCAAGTTAGTTAAGCAACTGTGCAGAGCGACAAATTCTACGAATATCAGCTTGGAAAGGCTTAGGATTATGAAAAGCTTCCATGTTGATGGAATACAAATATGTACTCCTTATACCTCTGTACTTGTAATAACCACAATATGGATGTAAGTATGTGAGAGGAAACGTGAGACTGCCTCTACTTTGGAAAAGCGAAGTAAGGAAAACCTCAGCTTTTTTTTAGTGAACTGGACTGCAATTAAATTGTGAAAGGAGCAAGCCACTAAATTATGACAAAACCGCTATCAACGTCAGTCAAGAGTAAAGGGAAGTTATCTAAAAGAATTTTCATTTTATGCATTTTAAGTCCTATTAATTCATCGAGTTTGGTAAGCAGTAAGAGGTGCCTTCTGATTTAAGTAGTTGGTATACTTCAAAAGATGAGAAAGTATATCTTTTTACAGTCACATTGACTCAGAAACTTAAATTGATCTTTCAAATGAAGATATTACAGATGAAAAAAATGACATGAACGTCTGTATGTCTATATATACGCGAGTATATACCTGTCTCTTAGTTTCTGAGATATCGATCTAAAATTTTTCACGTGTCCTCTTCTCTCCAAGAAGCTACTAATCGATCAAAATTAAGTTCTTGTATTGAAAACTTTTTACTACCCGAGATATCTGCACGAAATTTGGCATGGACTATTTTACGATTCAATCTCCGAATAAATTTTTGAGATCGGACCACTATAGCATATAGCTACTATACAAATCGATAGATCAAAATCAAGTCCTTGTAGGGAAAATTTTGTATATGTGAAAATTATTATAACTTCGGTTGCAACGGTTTTTCTTGTTTATTATTTTTTTTTTTTTTGGAAGTTTAAGTAAAAAATACTTTATAGATACTTGGAGTAAATATATTAATATATTTATTTTTTTAGCATTCCATTATAACCCATTTTTTCACAGTTTGTTCTTTTATAAATCTTCACACTTTCGTTTAGTAACACCTAGCACCCTTTAGTTCTCCTTTCGCTTCTTATTATTCTGATTTTCACTGCTTTCGTTTATGGTAGACTTCGAATGCGACTTTCGCTTATTCGAGCGCCCGCCATTGGAACCATTAACGCGTCCAACCGCTATAGCTGGTGTAATACCCAACGCTTGGCTACTATTAGACGAACATGAGGCTGAACCAGCTACATCCACAGCCTCTAACTCTTCCATTTTTATAGGACGCGTAGACATTGCGCTTGGCGCTATCATTAAGAGACTATTGTTACGCTGAGCATTCGCTATCAATGCGTTGCCGACGCGTTCACACTTCAAATGAAATTGCTTGACTTGCACTTGACGCAGCGGTGATGCGTTATCCCGACCGCTTACCGTGGACTCATGATGTCCATTCAACCTATGCCTGTCATTGTTGTTTAACTCATTGCTGACGCGTGTATCGCGACAATTTGACTGATGCTGCTCTTGTTGTAGTTCTTCCTGCTGCTTCTGCCATTCCAAGACGCCGGTGAGTAGCTTGATGTATTTAATAGCCATGCGAAGTATTTCATTCTTGGAGAGCTTCTTGTCTGGCGGATGTGTGGGCACTAGCTTGCGTAGCTCGGCAAAGGCGCCGGACACATTCTGTTGACGCCAACGTTCACGCGTATTGGTGAAGACCTTACGTACCGGACCGCCGCTTATGGTTGGAGCATTCTTCAAAATGTTACTGTTATTCGGTGGAGAATTGGTTTGACGCGGTGGCTGGAGTATATTCATGTTGCGCGGTGAAGTGGATTGAGAGCGCGAGCCTAAATAAATGTGGGACAAAGAGTTTGCTGCTTGAGAAAATATTTGGCTTGTAAGTCAATAAAATATATATGTATATATTTTTTTGAACAATCTACTATTTTTAAAGCCTTCGCTATAAAAACTCACCATCCCCCTGACTGCCATTCGAAAGCACACAATTGCGAAAATCTTCGTCATCCTCCTCAGTGTCGTTGAGTGAAAAATCCGACAGATCACCGTCGGATATCGACTCAGTTTTGGGATGTAGATAAGCTGCTTGTGCAGCTGGCAAACGCACTAAAGCTGGTGGATTACCACTAGTAGCACTGATGCGCAGGCAATTAGGTAAAACTGCTGGCCCCAGATCTCCAGCGCCATTAACAGCGCCCGTTTTGGGTGAAGTTGATCTTGATCCTGTAGCTCTGGGCGAAGCATTTTCCAACTTGCAGCTTCTCAGACTGTTACTTATATCACTTTTATTGGAAGTTGTGGAGATATGCTCCTCCGTCTCGCCCGCAGCTACCCAAACCATTGTAAATAATTGAAAAAAATAAAACACTTATGTGTACCGTCTAACACTTGAGCGGAATGCTGTAGTCCTTACAGCTTCAGCAACAAATTCGAAATGTAAACCAGACACTTTTGTGTGTATTTTGGAAGGAAAATTTGAGCTGTTTGCCACTGCCACTATCAGCGCCGCTGCATGTGGTGTTAAACCAACCACAGCTCCCTTAATGGGCGGCGCTAGCCTGCATATAGCAGGCAATATGGCAGCGTCAAACGGAAACTACCCTTAAAATGTGTATATTGTTGTTATTGTTCAGTAATGCACAAGGGGAGTGCCCTCTTTTGGACTGACTGAAGATAAACTCGTTACTTTTCTTGCGTGTGAACAAGTTACTTGCATAAATGTTGAAATCTGTTTTCGAAATTTTTTTGCGAAAAATAAACATAATAGTATTTATATGAAAAAATCGAGATATAAAGAAATTTAAAATCTAAGAATGCGAACAACTTTTATTTAAATGTTGAACATATTATGATTATTAAGGGGTGGAAAGTTAATTGTGTGGAGATTTTGAAAATCAATCAAATATCAGGACATAAATTAAATAAAAAGTTATTGTGTAAATAAAAAATATATTTAGTAATGTATATTAAATAAATTTTTTCTTATATTTTCTGATTTAAAGTTGATTTAATTTTACCCCATTAAATAAATTAAATTAAATTTCCTGTCTTATTTAAAAATATAGTATTCAATAAAATTCTGTTATATGTTTTTATTTTATCAAATTTTTAAAATTAATAATTTTTTCTGACTTACCCATTTCAAAAATTAGCTGGAGATTTTTAATAATTCTAATCATATAATTTGTTCATTTTAACACGCAACACTTGTTATTTAATAAATTAATTTTTTGCTTTATATTTTTTTTACGCACTACTTTTACTTTTTCATATTTTTTGTAACTTTTATATATTTTCTTTAGAATGGCTTACTATTTTATATTATCAACTTTTAGATATATTTTAGCCGACACTATTTTTTACTTTTTTAAATGCTTTTGAAATATATATATTTTTTAAATTTTTATTTTTTAAATTTTAGTTTCTATATTTTTTATTATTTTTTCTGACCTGGGCACTAACTTTATTCGCGGTTTCTGTTCTTTACGCACACATTTTAAAAAGTTTTGTTTTAGATTTTCACTTATTTGCACACTCATCATATAACCCATTATTCCCTTTATACATACATGTATATATATAAATTTTTGTCATTTAAGCACACCACATTATTTGCGCGATTTTTTATTTGTATTTTCATTGATTTTATTTTTTTTATTTTAAATACACATTTCTTAAAATTATTTTTTATTATTATTTTATACACCAAACCTTTCTTAACTTTTTTAAATTTTTTTTTCTCTTTTTAATTTTTTTTTATTATTATTATTTTATACACCAAATTCTAAATTTTTTTAAAAATATTTTTATTTTATTTTATACACACTTTTTTATTTTCTACACCGCACTATTTTTTCATTTATATACATATGTACATACATCTATTGGCATTAATTTTACAACCGATTATTGGCTTTACTATATTGAATGCTAATTAAATTATATTTTTATCATTTTGGCATCCGCTTTACTTTTTATCGCCTCTCACCGATAGCTTTTTCATATTTTTGTTTATACACTACACTATTTTTTCACTTATATTGGTATTTTCTTTAAAACCGATGTGTCGCTTTTCTATATTAAATACTTATTTAAATGGCCTTTTATTTTTATTTAACTTTTTTTTCTAACACACATTATTTAATTTATTTACTTCTATTTATATTTTATACACTACACTTTTTTCACTTTTTAACTGATTATAGAAAAGCTATATCAAATGAAATTATTTAATTTAATTTTACACAAATTATAATTTTTTTTATTTTCCACTTTTGAGCACTTATTTGTTTCTTATCAATGCATTTATCTTTTTTGAGCACTCTATGTGCTTCTTCTTTTTATTTATTTCAATCGATTATAACTTATTTTTAAAATTTTTTTATACATTTTACACTTCTTATACTTTTTAATTTATTACATTTGACATATTTTTTTATTCTTTTTTTTAATTTTCTATATTTTTTATTTATATTTTTCACTTGTATTGCCATTTTTTTTATAAAATTGATTTTTAAATGCGCATATACTTACAAATGTAGATTTTAGTTTTTTTTAGTTAATATTTTTTAATTAATTAATATTTGTTTTCATTTTTTAAAAATGCACCAACTTTTTTGACATGTTTTATTGTTTCATACTTGTATGCTTACCCCTGCTTAGCAATTGTAGCACATAGTATATATGGTATTTGAAAGCCATCAACACTTTTGGTTCTATTTCGGATTTTTATGCGAGTGTAACGGCTTAGCAAACTTTTATGCAGGCCACAAACCAACACAAAATACTACCTTGGCTTTACAACTGTTTAACGTTTGTTGAGTTTTTGTTTCCGCACTTGTCACGAACATCACCAACTGCACGAATTCACACACGAGCCACTTGTCAATTGCTAAAATTTAATTCACTTATTTACACATTTATATTAAACCATATCTAGGCCTACTATGTCACTTTTTATTGTTTTTTTGCGCTTTTCACGTTGCACACACTTCCAATTGTCAGCAACCTTTCGTTTGCCTTCTAACAGCTTGTTCATGTAACTGTGCACACACGACTGACGCCAAAGCAAATATTTCCATAAGCGAATTTTGCACACAAATTCATAGTTTCACTAAATATTTCACTTCACACTGTCGCACAAGCACTAAATGTATTGTTTTAAGTCCGCATAAGGTATTAATATGCAAAGTTACATGCAATAAATGAAATATTCACTTTCGGCAATTGGCGGCTACATTTTTTATGGGGTAGCGAAGGAAACTAAAAAACGAATGAAGCTTTGGCACGGATACAGGGCTGCATGCGTGTTTGAAAAAATTTTAGTGGAAAAAATGCCATGCACTGAACATACCACATATTTGAATAAATTTGAAAATGCTTGTATGCAAACGCAAAATTTATGAATATTAAAATTTTAAAACTTGCAGCAGCACACATACAAACATACAAATATAGTAATAATAAAATAAGGATGTACATACTATAATATAATATTATATCTACATACATATGTACATATGTAAATGCATATACTTAAGTAGTTTAATGTTGTGTGAACTTGTTTTGTTTGCAATCATGATTTCTAAGTACAATAAGTCCCATTTCACACAGATAAAGAGTAAACATGAATTTAATAAATTAAAAATTGAAAAACACATTACAAATAAACATAGAATATTTATAAATTAAATAATACAAATAAATATATATATTAAAATTAAAAATTAAAAAAAATAAAACATTTGTACAAATAAAATAATGCTCAATGTTTATTAATAAAACAACACAAATAAATATACCAAATATATTGCCAAAAATTAGCAAAACCTAATAAGAAAACAACAGTTAAATTTAAAAAATACATGAAAATAAAATAATTCTCAATTCATACAGCAAAAGTGTAAAAATTAATATAAAAATCTTACAAGTTTAACAGAAATTACAAATAAACACTGATATTGTCCACAATTTTTAAAAATAAAATAGTATTATTAAATATACAAAAATAGAATTAAACAAATTAATAAAATGAATCCAAAAAATACATAAAATAAAATAAGTCTCAAAATATATATAAATTAATATTATTATATTACAAATAAATACATCAAATATATAAAAAACAAGACATTAAAATAAAATAAGTCCCAATTTACACAGAGGAAAACTTGACAATGTTTGAAAATAGACATTATATATTAAATTTTGCATATACACCCGTTAAACATAATATAATATAATACAGCTATCATTACTTGAATGCTATAATTCACATCTTAAATCAAAGTCTTAATAAAGATACTATTTTCTATGTCAAAAGCTGCAATAAAATTTTTTGTAAAGTGTTTTATAGAGTGTAAACGTGGTCTAATAAAAAATATTTTTTTAGCATAAAAACTCTAAAAAGTTCTCAAAAGTCATACATTTCAATAAAGTAAAATTATATTCGTATGTTTATAGACGCGATATTTAATATAATCAACTGAATTTGATAATGATCTGGTTTTTGTTTGAAATAAATAAATAAACATCTTTTAATCACATAATCATTTAAAAAAATCCTTTAAACAAAAAACTCTGGCTATAATTAATTTAATGCTCCAATTTAACGTCTTAAATCGGCGTCTAAATAGTAATACCAATTTCTATTTGAAAAGCTGCAATGAAATTTTTAGAAAGTGTAAACGTTGACTAATATAATAATAACTAAAAAATAAATTTTTTTCAGCATAAAATAAAGAATAATTATTTAATTCCAATTTATGTATTTTAATTTAGTTTTAAAATTTTTTTTTTTTATTTGGTCAGACACTTTAATAAAGAAAACTTATAAATGTATAAGACTTTAAAACTAATATAATCAACTTGTAAACGTAGATTTATTTAGCATTAAATTATTAAAACAAGTAAAGTCTAAAAAATATTATTAATGATCAATTTTTTAATAATTTCAATACCCCTGGTATCCTGATATTATTGTTTCAGCTTTTGAAAAGTGTGAAATAAGACTCAACCATATAAGTCCAGAAGAAAAAAAACATTCGTAACTGGCACCAAAGCACCGTTATGCTTAATTTCCTTCGTCGCGAATAAAATTGTCGACTGCTCTGCCGTGAGCTCTGAATAAAGTGCCATTTTTTCGTTAAATAACGCGTCGACTGCGCATTTTTTGTTAAAATATCGTAGTGCGAACAGTGCTTCAATGAAAATGTGCAAAAAATAAGTGCAGGCGTTGTTATTTAGTGTAAAATTCGCGTGTGTAAGTGCTAGTGGGCGCTGCTTGTGCATACAAGCCAATGCGCAAATAGTGAAAAGTGAAGTGTATAAATAAAAGCAATGAAATAGTTAATAAGAAGTAGAGCCGAGGTAAGCTTAATTGTGTTGAAGAGAAAATTTTATTAAAAATGTACTTATATAAACAAGAAATAAAGTCAAATCTCATTTGCGTCAAGTGCCGGTACGGTGCCGAGAAGCTGACTGCAATTGGCTTTGCTACGGTTTGTGTGTGGTGCCGTGTAAACAGCAAGTATGCTAATGCAATCTAGAAGACTTGATAGTGTCACTGAACTTTAAATTTCCAGTTCCGGCGGTATTATTTTATAGAAATTGTTACTTTAAAATCTGGCACTTATAAGTATGCACAGCAAACGTTTTAGTGCCGCTGACTCTGGTTGATGACATAGCTATCGTTTTCAAACTGTTGTGTTGCCAAAACGGTGCTATGCAAACTGTTTGCAAAGCAAATAATGTGATTAATATTATATATTGGACATTTAATATATACGAAAATTGCAAATATTTCTATGCAAATATTTTATTTTTCATCAAATTCTAATACTTTCAATTTAAATATGCAAATATTTAACAAAAATGAAATAAATCCATTATATTCGAGAAATACATTTTACAAAATTTTTATAAAAATGAAGAAAATATTTTTAAAAAGAATTGTTGAAAATTTACAGCAAAACAAGAAAAAAGTTGAAGTTCGGTTGCACTGAAGCTATAATACGCTTCACAAATAAAAAAAGTTTCTACACAATAATTTAATTTTGATGGCGGTTATATGCTATAGTGGTCCGAACTGAACAATTTATTCAAAGATTGTACCATTGGCTTGGACAATAAACTGTACCTAATTTCGTAAAGATATCCTGTAAAATAAAAAAGTTTTCCTTACAAAGACATGATTTTAATTGTTCAGACGGTATGGATATCGATGGTTCCAACAAATGAGCAGCTTCTTGAGAAGAAAAACCCAAGTGCAAAATTTCAGACCGCTATCTCAAAAACGTATATTTTATTTAATAGCATATATAGCGACCTGTCTGGTTAACTAAAGACGATTACTTTACACATTTTGCACAACACTAGTGCCAGCCCACCGTTTTCATACACACATATGTATATATTTATATCCATATTCATACATATATATATTTACTAAAAGGCTCATCAGAAATTCATTACCACTCAGCATATCAGTTACAAATAAAATACAAGTACATATACATATTATCTACAAACACAACCACATTTCTTACAACATATTTATAAACACACATATAAATACCTACATCTCCACTTTTCACACACTCACATTACTGAGTTTGAGTACCTGCTGCTCGCCTGGGAATCTGCCATTAATCCTTATCACAGGCCAACAGTCAGCTATGACGCGCCTCTTACAAATATTTGAAGGGAGGAAGCTGCAGTTAGATAGCTGATAGAAGTGTGCGGTAGCGACGCGTGCGTTTGTTTGTTTATTGTGCCACATACACACATACATATGTACACCAAATGCCGCACTTTGCAGCGCCACTCCACACCGCTTGACTTTTGTCGTCTGTCGACGCCGCGTCTGTATCATAATTGTGCCGCTAATCGGATTAATAAAAAATATAGATTCATTTACAGTGTATACAGGATATAAATAAAAATCAAATTAGTGGTCAAATGAGTGTGTGTTGGCGGTAGGGCGCATGTGAATGTGTCGTGGTTGAGTTGAAGCGGGAGAAGTGTGTGTGAACGGTGGCTGTTTGCCAATTGCTTTGTCATTTTTAGCGCAAGTTAACTGATTTTTTAGTGATTTTTGTAGGATATAATATATTTGCTGCATATGTACGTATGTATAGTTTTTAGACACGTGTTGGTTTGCATTGTCAGCAGCAACACGTGCCCCAAACCGCTGAATTGTGTTAGTCTTTTTAAATAATATTAAAATTTGTTGCTTATAGAAAAGGTATACATTATAAATTGATAAACATTTTTTATTTTTAAAAGCATTAAAAACTACTAACTTATATACGATTTCTCAAACGAATTTTTTGTAAAAAATTTGCATACTTTTAAAATTTTATAAAAGAAGTGTTAAAAAAACGCTTCTAATTTAAATCTGAATTTTAGAAAAAAATTAAAATAAACATGTATATAAATAATTAATAAAAATTATATATTTTTCTTCACAGAATTGAAATATATTAAAGATTTACTAATAATAAAAAAATTATATTAATTAAAATTTAAGAATTCTCTGAAAAATGTGTAATAAGTTTGCCACAAAGTTTGTAACACTCAGAAGAAAACGTCGGAAGCACTATAAAAATATATATATATATATAAATAATCAGCATAACGGACTGAATCGATTTAGTCATCGGCGATATTGTACCACTCTAACATACTGATTAAACGATCGGAATCAAGTGCTTGTATGGAAGCTTTTTCATTTGACGAGCTATCTTCAAGAAATTGAACATGGATAATTATCTAAAGCTATGGTGCAATCTGCGAAAAAATTATTAAGATCGTATCACTATAGCATATAGCTGCCATACAAACTGAACGATCGGAATCAAGTGCTTGTTTGGAAGCTTTTTCATTTGACGAGATATCTTAACGAAATTTGACATGGATAATTATCTAAAGCTATGGTGCAATCTGTGAAGAAATTATCCAGATCGTATCACTATAGCATATAGCTGCCATACAAACTGACCGCTCAAAATCAAGTTCTTGTAAGGATTCTTTTGTATTTGTGATTATAGCTATATATATTATAGCTTCGTTGCAACCGCAGTTAACGTTTTTTCTTATTTTTTATACAAATACATATATTTAATGTTTAAACTAATTATAAAACTTATATTCTGTTAACAAATTTACTTGTTTTAATTCCTAGTTGAAGTTATATAAAAAAAATTTGAAAAATTTCGAATTATATGCCTCTATACCAAAGTTAAAATATCTTATGAAGTTTTTAGATAAAAATAACTCAAAATTATGCTGCTTCTAATACTATTTCAGTGACTTAAATATAACAAAAATCAATATTTGAAAAGTTTACTTCGTCCACATAGATTTATAATTCTGAAACTTCAAATATTTGCTATTATTAAACATTTTGTCAAGTACACAATTTGAGTTATTTAATTTGTGATTTTCGAAAAACAAGCTTATCTAATTTCAAAAAACACATTCGAAAATTTGTTATCATCGTCATAATTTCCATCCACTTATGATTAATCTTAAACAGCAGTGCTATCAGTGTTTACGAACACGCCTCCACATCCGTCGTACTTACTTTGACGCGCTCAACATACATTGACCTAACCTCAATTTTTTCCTCACAGTCGCGCTAATCTTAAAGCTGTTATCAACTTTGTCCTTCTTTTATCGCTGGTAACCTTCTTCTGCCTCACTATTAGTTGCCTCAACGCGCTGTTTGTCGCCTTTTTAAGTCGTTTGCCTTTTCATCGCCTTCTTTTTTGCGTTTCCTCTGATTTGTGTGCACTCAGTCGTATTATCCTTACAATTATTAATTTTTATATGCCCTTATCGCTTTACCGCTTATCGTCTGGCACGTGTTAATTAACCCGCCACTGCTGGTATTACTGCAACAACTGTTATTGTTTGGGTAGAGTTTTGCAGCAACCCTTGTAGACCTAATGTTAACAGTTATGCACTTAACGCTCGTGTAGAGGGCGTGACTTGACTATGGAAGATGGATTTGTCACAAGTCCTTTTTCCATTTACTTGCAAACTTTGTTTCTTTTTTTATTCAAAGTTGTTAGTGCGGCTTTTCTGGGGTTTCTTGACTTTCATGGCAGCTAATAAAAAATCTGAAAAAATTATTATTTTTTGTTTACAATTTTTTATCTTTGTATTGTAATGTAGTATAAATTCTTTGCGTTAAAAGTGATAATTTTCTGCTCTAAGCTTCAATGAAACTTTGATTTTCTAGTGGCTTGGAATACTTGTGCTTGAGCGTTTAACAGATTTATGTATATTCGATGATAGTGTGGGTCTACGTGACTCAGTGCTTATGTTTCGAAAGGCATTATGTCAGGAGATAATATGTTATGATATTACTTCGGTTGAGGCTCCAAACCAACATATATGACCTTGAAAACTATATGTCACAGCAGTATGAGGTGCTTGTTATAATCTACATATATGTTGACTTGGAGCCTCAATCGAAGTAATATTATATTATCGCATCTAAAATGACTGGAATCTTTCGGACACATTCTCATATAGTGAGACCGTCACAAAATGAGACGTTTCGTACAATAAACTTAAACAAGCAAAAATCTTAACTTCGGTTGCATCGAAGCTATAATACTCTTCACAAATACAAAAGATTTCTTTGACTCGGTCAATTTGTATGGCAACTGTACTCGATCTGAATAATTTCTTCAGAGATTGCACCATTGCCTTAGACAATAATACATGCCAAGTTTGATGAAGATATCTCGTCAAATGAAGACGATGTTAGACAGTTATCGAAACTATCACAACCTGATCTTTTAGATTACATAAACTACTGGATCTGGTTAGAATCGAAGAAAACTTCTTTTTCCATATTGTTAGTTTTGGAAACCTACTCAAATCTCGTCCACCTTTTGTTCAAGTAGTAGATTGTGCTTATCTGTTCATTAATCACAAATGATACTTCTGCTAGTCTACCAAAATTTACCCAATTCGGAATCTAATCTCATCTTAGCACTTCATACTGTAGTAAATTAATAAATAAAATCAAACATTTTTGCTATAGCCAAGGAATGCAAATTCGATAAGCCTATCGGCGATCACTTAACGGCGGAAAATGTAGACAACAAAGTGCAAACAATAGCTTTATCAATACGAGCAACAACTACGATCACAGTGACAAATGAAAGTGTTGTAGATTTATAAAAATAAGATTAATAAAAAGAAAAAAAAAAAGTAAACAATGTAGTTGTTTACTGAACAAACACAATGTTCTACATGGCATTATATGTTAGCTGCTGAATCGGTAATTGCTGGTGGTCGTGCGTTAAGCTTTCGACGAGCGGCAGCGTTGCGGTGCAAATCAACAATATGAAAAGTAAAAACAAAACTTGTCGTTAGCTCCACAGCTGTTGCCTGCGGCTAGATGTTTATCGCCACTTTAGCGAGTGCGCGCTGATCTCCAGCGCCAGTCGTTCGAATTAGGTCGATCGAGACGCTTGCTCTGCGGAAAGCACTAAAAGTGAACACTGTTAATATTGCGATTCAAGTTGACGCGCACGTGAGAACTGTAGTCGCATACACGCACATTACGAAACACGCGAATGGCAACAGCTAGCAGCGAAGTGATGTATTTAGTCGCTGGTATATTTGGCTTTATCGCCGCTTTACTGCTCTTCGCCGCGCTGACCATTATTGTGCTGCGTTTGAAATCACAACTGATCTTTGGCATCTACCCCGCGAAGGGCCTTTTCTATCAACTGAAGTATGTGATTGCATTGCTGTTGGTGCGCCGTCTGCGTCACCGTGTCTATCACACCAAGGACGAGCTTAATTCACCCGCATTTCTGGCGCAAATCGATCGTCCGCAAGCGTTAAGCGATAATCCGCAGAGTTACGATGTAGTCTCCTTCATGGGTGCCAATGAGCGCGGTGAAAAGTTGTTCATGACCTTGGAGCGTCGCCGGCGTGGCGTGTTGAAAGCTTGCATTTATCTCTACCTTCCTGAGTTGGGCTTGTATTGCACGCCAAAATTACCGGACATGCTGCACTTCACAACGGATGGCACACGCGAGAATGACGAGTTCAAAGGTTGCGGTTTCCATGTGTATCCCGAAGCGTCGATGCGTGAATGGCGTGTGCGCTATGAAGGCGAGCTACGTCCCGCGGCCGCTGTCGGCAAGTGTCTGCCTGTGCACATGAACTTGCAGTTCACAACGCAAGCGCCATTTTTCTACTATAATCGTGATCTGAGCTCTGCGGTCATTGCGGATTCGGTAGCGCGCGAGGCATGGAATGACGCATTCTACAAATTGCTTAAACATGTGCCCGAAATGGTTGAGAAACGTATACACTACGAGCAAAGCGGTCGTTTGACGGGTGAGGTGCAGTTGGCAGGTCGCAGCTTCGCACTGCAATTGAGCGGTTTTCGCGACCACAGTTTCGGCACCGAACGCTGTCTATCCAATATCAATCGTTATGTTTATGTTGCACTTTTCCTGTCGGATGGCACCAGCTTGATGATCGGCAATCTTAGTCAGCCCTCCTTCTTTCTCTCATCCCTCAAAGTTGGCTACGTCTGCACACTGGCGGGCGTTTATGAACCGATAACCAGTTGCAATTTTGAGCTTTATTCTTATGGTGAGAAGGGCACACCGCCGCGTCATAAGAATTTCATTGTACAGACCGCAAAAGCAAAGTATTTCGTGCAGATTGAGGAGCAACAGTCATCGGTGCGTTATGTGGGTGCCGACTGGGTTGCGAAGATCTACAACCAATTTGTGGCTTGCACTGTCAACGGCATTAAGGGACAAGGTATCACCGAGTATTTGTATAAGAATAAAAATGGCGAACGTCCTGAGGCAGTGAACGCTACAGATCCCGAGTGGTTTAGACGTGTGAAGAGCTTTGAACGGAGTTTGAGTAAATGCGAAGAAGATGAAAGCGAGGTTTTCTTCTTCTGAGCTTCGACGAGGCTCAAGCAGCTTTTAGGTCAATTAAGCATATCTCTAAGTGCCTATTTTGTGGTGACGAAATATTTTTGTGCCGGCACAATATTCCAACAAGGACTGAAAACACTTTTATTTAGATTTTATCGTGATATTTAAATTATTTGGTGGTAATATGTGCTTATTTTAAAAAGTGAACTGTTATTCACAATAAAAACATATAATTTTATTCTAGGAAATAAGTGTTTTATTAAAACAACTGCATACAAAATTTCCTCTCCCGCTAATCGTTGTCAAGATTTTATAATTTTGGAATCTTAACTTGGTGGAAAGTTTACTTTTCTACGTAGATTCATGTTTACTGTAAAGTCCTGTCGGATATTTAGACTTGTTAATGCAAAGCATAAGAAAAGCTCCATCCGCATTTGAGGTAAGGGTGCTAATTGTGCTATTCGTTAGACGTCAATTAGTAGGACGTCGGATGTTTGTAAAATCTGCCCTCAAATGAAAGTTCAAGCGCTTGAAGGAACTCTCATAAGGTCTAAGAAATCTAACAAAAAAAATTGTATTCCTTTTGCATTCCATATATTTAAATGCATTAAGCTGTAAATCTTATTTTTTATAACACCCATTTTTCATTGAGTTCTTATTACCGCACCAATTATGGTTCTTGATTTATTTTCTCGATATAGATTTCCCAATGACGTAGCCCGCTGACAGGGATTTATAGCTAACGCTTTATTAGACAATCGCACGGTTGATTGATAAGGCGGTTTTACGAACGATAATTCTTACATCCAGTAAAAAACAAAAACGATAACATTTACCCACTTTTCTAAGCTTTTTGCCCGAAATAACTGTATTGAGGCCATGTCTGCCCGTATGGGTTTAATTTTGCATTTGAAATACGACTATTTTGTTTGATAATCCACATTGTAAATTAATGTTATATATTATTAAAACCAATATTGCTTAGCTTTGCTTATCAATAAAAACAAAAATAGTATATGTTAGATTAGCCAGTGAGATTAACGCATATTATGCAGGTGCTGTTAATATATAATATTATATCAGTGAATTGCCGGTTCGAAGCAAAAACTGAACTATATAGCAGTATTTTCTTATATACATCACTTTATTTGCAGCTAAAGTGTCACCCTTTCAATAACTTACTGAGTTTTAATAGCAATTTAAATAATAATATTGTTAATTGCTTACTTCTTCAATTATCGTCGTTTGCTTTCCACTATAATTAGTAGTTGCAGCTATTACCTATATTTAAATAATTGTTTACTATATGCATCTATTTTCCGGGTTCTATAAATATGGAATTATTTAATTTATTGAATAAATCATAAATTAAGTGCCTTTAGTCTAACATTTGCTTTGAAATCGAGTTAATTGATTAGTTGGTTGAGAACTACAGTGATTTTCAAATAAGTTAAACGAAAAACTTAAAAAATATGTTAAAAGAAGCAGCTGGCAGTCTGGTTAGCCGAGTTTCCACCTTTGGAACAGCCCCTACATTTATGGGACCAATAATTGGTCATATTGTTAAGGTGGCAGTTATTTGGAAAATCTTTTTTGTCTCTATGGGTCATAGACCAGTTTTCCGTTACGCAGTTCCTGAAAAGCATTCATCCTTCAAGATGCTAGCGCTTGACGTGAATTTCAATAGGTTTTGCGGCCTCACTATCGACATCCTCTCGTGTTTCATACCGTGCGGCCGCCAAATTTTTGTCTCTATAAAAACCCTGCAAATTTAAATCCACGTGGGTTTCAGGGCTATAGTTAAAATTTATAAGAAAAAATAAAATAATAATTTTTTTTTGCATATATGAAAATTTATTTTTTCTCTGAATTCTGTCTATGCGTTTATATAAAGCACAAACATAATTATAATATTTTAAATATTTCATTTTGAATATTGTTTTTATTGTTTGTGAACATGCATTTTTAACTGAGATAATTTAAACTCATATTTTACAAAAGACATTTTAATTTTAATATTTATATATAATTATTTTTTATTAGGAATGATGCTATTAATGGTATATGGTATATATTTATACAATATATGAATAGCATATATACAAATTTTAAATTTAAAATATATAATAATAAATATTTTATACTAATAATTTTTCGGGCATTTTATTGCTAATTATTCTTACTTTTACTTAAATAAAATTAATTTTCTTAAGCAATTTTTTTTTTGTGTTTTTATTTTATTTTAATTATGATTTTAATTTTTAAATATTTATTTGTTCAATATTATTGTTCACATGTAAAAAATTTTATATTTTATTTTAAGTTATATAAAAAAATTATATTTTATTATAATTATTTAATTTTTTTATAATTAAATTTATTGTAGTTATTTATTGCTATTTTCTATACCTTTTATTGTTTTTAATTATTTTCTTATTATTGTAATTTTTTTAAATTTTTATTTTTGTGTTTTAGTTTTGTAAATTATAATATAATTGAATTAATTTATTTTAACTAACTACTTCTAATTTTTTTTATATTTTTATGTTGTTTTACATACATGTATTTTTGTTTTTATATGTTTTAATTATCTAATTTTAATTTTTGTATTTTTATTTTTTTTACATAAATGTATATTATTTATTCTTAGTTTTCGAATGTTTATTTGATAAGTTTTTCGTTTATTTATTTTTCTTTTTTACTTTTAATTTTTGTGAATTATTTTTAAGTTTTTATTTTGAATTTTTTTAAATTACATTGTTATTTAACTATACTTTTTTTTAATTGTTTTTTCTCATTTTTTTCAAATTGTTTTAATTTTTTTTAATTATATAATTTTTATATGTCTAAATTTCTTTACATACATATATTTCATATTTAATCTTACTTTTTTAATATTTATTGTTTTTGTGTTTATTAATTTTTTTATAATTTTTAAATTATTTTTATGTTTTTATTTTGAATTTTGAACTTTTTTAAATTAAAATTCAATTCATTTATATATAACTTTTTTTTATTTTTTAATAACTAATTTTTCAAATTTTTTTAATTTTTTTAAATTTTGTTTTACTGATCTAGTTTAAGTTTTATACTTATATATTTTTTTACTCCCATATATTTTAAATTAATTTTAATTTTTAAATATTTAAGTAATAATTTTTTTTGTTTATTAATTTTTTTTATATTTTTATATATTATTTTTATGTTTTTGATTTTTAAATAAAAACTTAATTTTAATATAACTTATTATTATTTTCATATATTTATTTATTTTTTTAATTTGATAATGTTATTTACTAATTTAATTATTTAATACAATATATAATTTTTTTATAAAACTATAAAATATTTTTATTTATTAATTTAGTTATATTTGATATATTTTTTATAGGCGCGATTTAGGCTACATTTATTTCTTGCAATATTATTTTATATTTTTTACACACACACTTACTACAAAATTATAGCTTGCATTGGAGCGATTGGTAAATATTATATGTTTTTCATTTTGTATTTCGGCAATAAGTATACTTATGCTATTTATTCTAAATTATTTTTAAATATTTATATATTTTGACATTCAGCTTAATTTCGACATTAAAAGAATGTTAATATTGATTTTAGGTTTTTTTTTATTTAAAAAAAAAATTTTTATTTTATTTTACAAAATTTTTTTTCCAATTTTACAAAAGTTTTTTTATTTTTTCAATTTCTTTTTCATTTATCAAAACAAATTTTTATTTTTTTTTTACATTTTTGGCTTTAAGATTTTAAACGTGCATACGCATATGTATGTTTATCTACTACCAAAACGTTTTTAGGGTTTAGACAACGATTTCTTACCTTTTAATGTTTAAATTTGTCATAACCACGTTGAGATCTGTATTTAGAATAATTAAATTAAAGCGATAATTTCGCATATTTTCAAATAAGAAGTTTTGAATTATTGTTTTAAAAAATAAAATTTATTTTAAAATAAGGAGTTTCGAGTCACATACCACACAGGGTGTTCCATATTAACTAGAGATCTATCTCTATCTATTTATTTAAAAGTAATTTCATTTTAAAGTTGAAAGATTTTCACAATTGTGTATTACAAGCGCCGAAAATTTGCAAAAAAAATTCTTGAAGCATTATTTAAAAAAAAAGAAATATTAAAAAAATATAGAAAGTTTTCAAAATTATTTTAAAAAATATATATAAGTATTTTACATTTATTGTGAACTGAAAATGCCGAAATTAAACTTGAAATAATCATAAATTTTTTTTTATAAAAAAAATCACAACAACAAATTTTTATAATTATACATCAAAAATTACAAATTTTTTATATTGCAAAATTTTTCACTATATAAGAAATGAAAAATGTACACACACTTTTTTGGAAATATTTAAATTCCAAAAAAAAAATGTGGATACTTTTCCGAAAACAAATTTTCAACGCAACACTTATAAATAAAATATTTAAATTTTTTATATAATAAAATTCAACCATTCCTATTGATACACCCTCTAATTTTAAACATATATTGTATAATAGCAAAAATATTGTTTCACAGTATTTAAATAAATTCATAAATAAGTTCATTCGTCGTTTTTGTTAAAAAATCATAATCTATGAAATTGATATTTGGCACTAAAAATAGCTGTAAAGAAAAAGAGAAGTACATACCATACCTACACACTTTTTACAAATTTAATTTTTTTATAATTTGTCGTCGTATTTTCTGCTCATATATTTTTTTATTTTTATGTTTTCATATTCTGGCTCATTTGACTGCACTGGCCGTTTCTTATCACAAAATATTTGCGTAAAAATTTAAAAAGCGTCAATTGACTTTAATTGCCTCGCCAAATACTTTTTAATTTGTTTTTAATGCCTCGCTTAAATTGTTTTTGTATATGAAAGATTGAGATTTAATGATTATGAGTATGCTAATAGTATGTACGTAGCATAATAATGTATATATAAATGTAAATACATATATAGTTTTTCGCAAAAAAAAGTTTTTTTTGGCAAATAATTTTAAATAAATTGTAATTTTTATTTAAAACAATATACTCACTTATTTAATAAATGTTTATAATTTATTGTTAGGTGTAGATATAATATAAATGAAAATAAATTTTCAAGCTTAATAATTATTGAAAATATCTTGAAATTTTTTAACATTTCTAAATTAATTTGCATAAAAAAATTAAATCGTTTTAAAATTCATTTTAACTTGCTTTAATTAATTTATTTGGAATATTTATTTCACACAAATTTGTTTCATTTAAATAAATAATTTAAATTACTACTTAATTTTTTCTTAATTTTTTTAATATAAGCTTTATTAATCAAAATGCTTAATAAATGATTTATATATTTTTATATATTTTTAATACATGCATAATTAATTTTGATGTGCATATATTTTAATTATTTTGAAACGATTTTGGTTTAATTTTTACTTAATTAAATTGTGTTTAATTTTCAATGTTTTTTGGTATATTTTTTATTATTGTAAAATAATATTTTACAGTAAAGGGCTGCACACATTCGAAGATTGTTTTTGTTATAAATATTTAATTAAATTTATTTATAATTTTATTAATTTTTTTATTTATATATATTTTTTTTGTTTATTTATTTTAAATCTCATATTATGTTGTTTTTTTTATTTAACTTTACTATTTTATCAACAATTGTTTCAGATTTTTATATATCATTTTTATAATACATATGCAATAATTTTTACATTTCATTACTATTTATTTATTAATACTTTTATTTATTGAAATTAGTGCTGTTTATAATTTTTTTGAATCTGGCTTATGGTGCGAGACATTTTAAACCCTCCTTACGCCCTAGAAAAAAAGACAACAAAAAAATGATTTTTTGGAACTAATGCAATTTTAATATATCTGTTATCAAATTTTTACTGTAAAAATAAACTTATTAGGGTATATTAATTTTGCCACGAAGTTTGTAACACCCAGAAGGAAACGTCGGAGACCATATAAAGTATATATATAAATTATCACCGTGACGAGCTGAGTTGATTTAGCCATATCCGTCTGTCTGTCCGTCCGTCCGTCTGTCCGTCTGTATATACGCGAACTAGTCCCTCAGTTTTTGAGATATCGATCTGAAATTTTGAACACTTCTTTTTCTCCCCAAGAAGCTGCTCATTTGTCGGAACGGCCGATATCGGACCACTATAGCATATAGCTGCCATACAAACTGAACAATCGGAATGAAGTGCTTGTATGGAAAACTCTTTCATTTGACGAGGTATCTTCACGAAATTTGGCATGTATTATTATTTAAAGCATTAATGTAATCTCCGAAGAAATTGTATGGATCGGATGACTATAGCATATAGCTGCCATATTAACTGAACGATCGGAGTAAAGTGCTTGCATGGAACATTTTTTATTTGACGAGGTATCTTCACGAAATTAGGCACGAGTTATTACTTAAGGCAACAAATTATTCTCCACAGAAATTGGTCAGATCAGATCACTATATCATATAGCTGCCATACAAATTGAACGTTCGGAATCAAGTTCTTGTAAGGGGCCTTTGTTTTTGTGAAGGGTATTATAGCTTCGGCGCAACCGAAGTTAACGTTTTTTCTTGTTTTTGTTTTATTTTATTAACATTTTAATTTTTTATATTTTTTAATTTAATTTAATATTTTTTATATTTTATAACACTTATGTCTTATATAACATTATATATTACTTTTAAATACAATTTTTCTATTGTATTTAGTATTTTTTATATTTTATTATAATTTATGACTGTATTAAGATGATTTAGAAATTTTTCTAATATTTATTTATTTAATTTTTTTTTATTAAGTTTAATATAATATTTGTATATTTTATCATAAATTATGTCTTGTTTAATTATATTTTGATTTTTTTTATTGTATTTAATATTTTTTATATTTTATCATAATTCATGTCTTTATTTAGATTATTTTGAAATTTTTATAATTTTTTTTATTTAGTTTTTAAATATTTCCATTAATATGTTTTTTTTAATATAAAATTTATTTTATTATTGGATTTAATACTTTTTATATTTTTTAATTTATTATTATTTATATTATATATTTAAATTTTATTTATGTTAAAAAATTCATGTCTTGTTTAACCATATTTTGAAATTTAAAATTTTTTTGTTTAATTTTTTATGTTCGTTAACACTTTTTTTTAATTATAAAAATATTTAAATTATATATTTAAATTTTATATATATTAAAAAATTTATGTCTTGTATAATATTATATGATATAATTTTTTTGGTTTAATTTCAAATATTTTCATTAATTGTTTTTTAATTCTATAAATAATATTTTTTTAAATTTCTTTGATTTATTTTTTTTAATATTTATATTATTTTTTTAAATTGTATATTATACTTAAGTGTTTTAAAAATGTATGTCTTGTTTAGCATTATTTTTAATATTTTCCAAACTTTTTATTTAATTTTTAAATATTTTTAGTTATACATATTTATTAAAATTTTTATTGTATTGTTATTGTTTAATATTATTTTTTATATTTAATCATTACTTATGTCTTTATAAAGAAAATTTTTTATTTTAATTTTAAATAATTTCATTTATATATTTTTCTTTTAAAAAAAGTTTGTTTATATGTTTTTTCATTTTTTTTTATTAAATTTAAGATTTTGTCACCATTTATGTCTTGTTTAAAATTATTTTGAAAATTTTCTAATATTTTATTTCATTTTTAAATATTTTCTTTAATTTTTGTTATATTTAATATATATATATTTTATCTATTTTATTTTATTTTTTTTTTATATTATAATTAAAATTTTTATATTGTATCATAATTTATTTCTTCTTAAACACAATTTTTAAATTTTTTATTGAATTTTAAAATATTTGCGTTTTTTCAAAACTTTTTTATTAAGTTTAAAATTTTTTTTTTTATTAAAATGTATATTTTGTATGACAATCTAATTATTTAATTAATTAGAAAATTTTTTTTTCAATTTTGTTTTTAATTTTTTATATTTCATTTATTTTTTACTAAATTTATTATTTTATATTTATTATGTGACTACCATTATTTATATATTACTTAATTTATATTTATTTATATTTTTTTTTATTATTCATATTAAGTTAATTTCGAAATTTTTATAGATGCCATTTTTATTATATTATACACACATTTTTAAATTTATTGCGTTCACAATTCTATTTCCTCATTTCATTTAAATCAATTATTATAATGCATATACAACATTTACATATGTACATACACAAATATATACACATACATATATATTTTTTTATTGCCGCTCAGTCACACCCCTACTAAGTTATAAGTGGTTCCTAATAGCTTGACACACTGTCTCTTAATACGATATTCACTGTATATTATTTACTGTCTTGCTACTGTTTACTCAACAATTCTAATTATACTATTTTTTGTTGTTGCCTTACCCTTTATTATTATTATTTTTTATGGAATTTGTTTTGCTTGCCGCTGGCGTATGTGACTCGTTTCGCTGTGTATTCGCACTTTGGACCCAAGCGCTATATTTATTAAGTATTAACCGGCACGCCAGTCGCTGCCAAGATGCCGAGCAGATCACATTGCTACATACATATGTTTAATATATAATTACACATACACACAAATATTTGAATATTTTTATTGTTTAACAATTAATTTTGTATTGCAATTGTTGGTATTGCTGTTGTTGTTGTTGATCTGTTAAAATGCAGATCCGTTTGAGAGTGTTGATTCTAAAGCACAATGTCAATATGTTGCAGTTGTTGGTGTATTTTTTATTTTTTTCATGTTTTAGATGTTTTGTTTGGGTGGTTAAGTTAAATTGCAATTTATTTTAAGCTTATCTACAGCTTTTGAAAGAATTTTACTTTAAAGAAGGCATATCTCCATATTTTTATATATTTTACATTTCACTTTAAAAGGGGATAATATCATATAATATTTTAATATTTTGAAATTCAAACATGTTAAATTTTTATTTTATTAAAAAAATTTAGTTTTGTGAAAGATATTCACATTAAAAAGTACATAGCTCCATATTTTTATATTTTGAAATAAAAAAAAGCTTTTGAGTTTTTTAACAAAAAAAAATTTTTTTTTTTAACGAATTTGTCATTAAAAGGGACATCAATTCATATTTTTGAATTTTCGAATTTGAAATTTCAAATATTTTGAACTTTTATTTTAATAAAAAAAATCGCCGCTGTTAAAGAATTTACCTTTAAAAAGAACTCCATATTTACATATTTTGAAATTTTAAAATTCTTGATTTTGACTTTTTTAACAAAAAATTTGCTTCAGTAAAGGCATTTTACATTAAAAAGGACATAACTAAATATTTTCATATTCTTACTAAATTTCGAATTGAGTTGCTTATTTTTTAACAATCAATTGGATTTTGCTAACGTATTACACGATAAAAAAGACATAACTTCATTTTTATATATTTTGTAATTTCAAAATAATTGAATTTATTCGTTTAAACAACAAATTTGCTTTTGTTGAAGAATTACACATATAAAAGAACATAACTCCATTTTTCTATTTGAATTTCAAAAATGCTGAATATAACATTTTTTTCAGATTTTGTTACTAAATTGCACATTTGTATGCGCAGGAAATTTAGCAAAATTTTTTTCCGAAGTTCGTCTAAAATGTCTTATTTTCTCGTTGCCTTTTAGTTTTCAGCACTGATTTTCGAAATTTCGAACATATTTCATACAGTTTGCGAACACCCCTCATTTGTTAGCTTCTTTACGTATTTTCGATTCTTAAACATTTTCAATTTATTTGCATACTTTCAAATATTTATTTATTTATCGAGACATTTCTGGTTGTGTATAAAATATTGTATTACAGTTTAGATATCAGTACGAATATTTGTAAATTTTAGCTTCAGGCTTGTTTTTTTAACTTTAAATATGAGTACAGTTAGGCGTGGTTATGCATGAGTGTATATGTTTATGGGCCAATTTTTGTATGTCTATAGATGAGAATCGCTACAACTACAACTACTTCATATGTATACATACATAAATGTTTATAATTTCGACTTTCTACTAATTTTTAATATAATTTCAATGCATCGACTTACAATTAAGGGCCATGTTTAAGCCATGGAATGCAAAAAGCTAATAAAAACTACAAAAGTAAAAATTATACATATTTTGTAAAATATCTTAAATTCACATAATGGTGTTGATACAATAAAAAAAAAAGAATAATATACACTACATAGCAGGTGCGAGCTTAGTTTATATATTTATTATAATATACGATGCATACACACACATATATATGATGTTTTATAAGAAAAACCAAACTCGTTATTGAAGCATAGCAATGAAAAAGGCATATAAACTACAAAACTTCACGTGTTTATACAATTTTATAATAACTTTTGACACATTTTCACTAAAATGGGTTACGAAAAACTGCGCTTTTGCACGAAAAACTAAAGTAAACGCAAAATGTTCAAGTTCGAATTTTCGAAGTTAATTTCGAATGCTTAAAAGAGCGTTAGTTTAAGTTTGTAGGTCTATTTTAAAGCCAACTATACAATACAGTTAAATTTTACAGCTATGTTAGAAAGTTCGAAATAAAAATATCTTGTCAAAAAGTTCCACTTATTGAGTATTTGCCTTTTCTTGATTTGTAAAAGAGTTTTCGCTCTAAACCAATACTTAAGTAATTAAAAAATGTAATTTTTTACGAAAATAACTTAAAAATTAAAATAGTTGAACATGTTTACTAATAAAACTCACTATGTTTACAATATTCATATAAAAAAACTTAAATTACTAGCTAACAGCCTTCATAACTAAACACATAAATATATCTGAACTTTATAATATTGCCAAATTGGTAGCATAATTTAAGCCTTCATAACTAAATACGTTAATATTTTTGAAAATAAAATCATGACCAAATTGTTAGCATATTTTTATAAAAAATAACATAATATTTATTTGCTTAAATAAAACTGGTAACATTTTATTTTTGCGCAAATTTGTTTCGTTGCAAATAAATTAAAAATTAAATAAAAAAAATATGTAATTTTTATCATGATTTTGATTACGAATATTTCAAATTAAATTCTTATTAATAACAAAAACATACATGAGCAATAAAAATTTTTCATTTTTAAGCTACTTTTATTTTTAGCTGCTAAAAAATAGTGTTTTTAATAGGTTTTTTTTGTTTTAAAAACCTGTTTTAATTTTTCAAAAACATTTACTCTTTGCCATAAAGTAATGTCTGCAGCCCGCTATATATAGGTAATATTTCGCAGTTACATATACAATTATTAAATGCATACTTTTTTTCTACTTTTTAGTTATTTTACGCATATTCGAAATTCATTTAAATGTATTATATATGTCAAAAAACTTGTTTATACAATTGCTAGCAGCCTATTTTAATATTTTAGCGGCAAATATAAATTTTCGAATTGTGTTCGAATTTTTGAACATGCATTTTTTATGCTTAAAATCTCAAAATTAATAATATTTTTGTATGTAGCGCTATTTATTCAAATTATTTACTAATTTTAACACATTTTCTTTGCGTTTAAATTGTGTCTTGCTTGAAAAACATTGCCAATACTTTAGTTAAATTTTTTTTAACTAAATAAGCGTTTTATTTTTAATTGAAATACTGTTTTTAATCGCTTACTTTTCATGTGAAGTTGTGATTTAATGTGCTGCCTTTGTAGTTAAAGAACGTTAGAAATAGTTTTCTCGTATAATATTTTTTTAGTTTTTTCGTAAATAATATTTTTCTTTTAAGCGTTTTTTTAACATGCTTTTATTCTATTACTAGACTTACGAAAATTACATTATTAAAATGCATTATGCGCAATTCATCAATTTTTTTAATTCAATAGTTGTTTTTTAAGCTGTAAATAACAACAGTTAAAATAAATTCTTTGGATAACTAAACATATTTTCAAACAATTTTTAATATCGAATAGTCAAAAGAAACTATTTTATGTTATAATTCTATGAGATATTCACTTTTAGGTCACACTGATTTTTGTTTTTGAAGTCGCAGCCAATACAAAATTGCAAAAATTCTTTTTGTTTTCAAATTAACTGTCGCAACTATATATATAGAAATAGTTCATCTGCAGTCTATCATGTGACTATGATTTCATGATCCGGATCCAGCAAATTATTCATTAGGAAATTCTGCTCCATGTCATCGGCCGTTGGAATGAGTGGTTTAAAAGTGTTGGACGTCTGCTCTTGCAACACTAAACTGCTAATACTTGGCGTATGCTGCTGCACCAACTCCACGCGCACCTTCTCGCCGCCACTGTTGGCGCTGTCTTCGAATGACACCATAATGTCGTTATCATTGCCCAGGTTACTGGTGTTGTTGAGTATGCTTGCCACGGCCAAAGAGTCTTCGTTTTGCGCCGTCAACGTGTTGCCTAAACTACACTGATTGTTGTTGTTGTTATTCGATTCAGACACAGCAATTTCGACGGCATGCACGGCGCGTAGATGAACTGCACGTTAAACGAGAGATACACAGTTATATAAACATTAAATTTATGCCACCGATTGCATGCACTTACCTGAGAGTCGATTGCGCGCAAATAGACCATCGCAGTACTCGCAGGCGACGAGCTTGTGCTTGAGTATGGCATGATCGTGCGCCTCCTGCGCGCACGAGGCCACAAAGCCACACTTGTAGACGGGGCAGTGCAGCGTTTTGTCCTCGAATGCGGCAACATGCACTTTCTGGTGTTGTTGCAATTCGCGCATATAGCAAAAGCGCTTGTCGCAGTGTTCACATTTGAGGTAGCGCGGCTTCACATGCAACTGCATGACGTGCTGCTTCAGCTCGTTGGCATTTGCGAAGGTGGTCGTGCATTCGTTGCAGCCATACGTGACGGCCTCGTGCATGCTCATGTGTTTTTCGAGCGTGGCACGCGTAGAGAAACGCTTATTGCAGTGATGGCAGGAGTGTAGACGCGGTCGACGCATTTGGCGTGCACGCTCCTGATACGGTGCAACTTCACGCACCAGCTCAATGCAGCGACCATTCTCGTCACGCGGTCGCTGCAAATGCAAGCGTAATTTGTGTATCGAGCTGAAGGCGCAGCCGCAATTACTGCAGGTGGCGGACGCGAAATTGGTATGGTTCAACTTATCCGGGTGGAAGTGTTGCGTGTGCCGACTGAGAAAGGCCATGCTGACGAAACCCTTGTGACAGTAGGCGCAACGCACTGGCAAAGCGCCATGATGCGCCTGATACTTGTGGCGGCGCAGCTCGTAATCGTTGGAGAAAACTGCGTATTAATGAAAATATAAATAACTATCTGTTTGCATGTCTGTGTGTAATTTATTAATTTGCATGCACTCACCTTCTTTACACTGATCACACTGTATGGTGTGCTGGCCTGACGGCCGGTGCATGCGTTCATGCGCTTCCAAATTGGCGCGTCGTACAAACACACGCGCACAATCGCGACATTTAAATTTGCTGGCGGCGTGATGACGCTGATGTGTGCGAAAACGCCCCAATGGCACTTGCAGAAAGCGTTCATCGCACGTATCGCATTGCCAATTGCTTACATATTGACAGTTGAACTCATGCAATTCCTTTGGCGAGCGTAGCGTCTTTTTGCAGTAATTGCAGTGTTCGGATTTGGCAGCGGTCGGGTGTATGAGCCGCACATGATAGTCGCGTTGCTTGACGGAGCTATACTTTTGCGGGCAATACGGACATGTGTAGGGCAAATTGGGATCGTGCACGTCAAAGAAATGCTGCGAAAGCGCATCGGCGCTATCGAAGACCAGGTGATCAATGGAGCCGGAATTCGGGCAGTAGCAGTATTGACAGGCGTAGGGATTGCGTGAGATGCGTGTTTGTGTTGTGGGGTCCATATCGGCCTCGAGCTCGTCCATTTCGTGTGTGTCCTCGGGATCGGAGCATGAGATAAGGTCCATATCTATGCGAGAGTATGTTTTAGAAATTAATTGTAGTAAAAACAAGAAAAAACGTTCACTTCGGTTTCACCAAAGCCATAATATCCTACACATATGCATTTCTTGTAGCATTAAAGGGTATAAAAATATGCTATAGGAGTCCGTTCCCAGTCGGGTCTACGTAACCTGATCGGACCGGAATTTTTTCCGGCCAAGGACTATCAACTCGGCAAAATTCTGCCGCTACGACAACAACATGCTATAGTAGTCCGATCTGAGCAATTTCTTCGGAGATTACAACGTTGGCCATCAAATACAAAAGTTTTCAATACAAATACTTGATTTTGATCAATCAGTTGGCATGGCAGCTAAATTCTATATAGTTGTCCGGTCTGAACAATATGTTTGAAAATTGTAGCATTGCCTTGGACAATAACCTATGCCAACCTCCGTGAATAAAAACCTTGTCAAATAAAAAACTTCTCCATATAAGAATTTGATTTTGATCGGTCAGTTTGTATGGCAGCTATATGCTACAATGGTCCTACATCGGCGTTTGCGACAAATGAGCAATATTTGGGAAAGAAAAGGACGTGTGCAAAATTTCAGATCGATATCTCAAAAACTGAGGTTTGTGTATGTACATACTAGTATTGTGTATGTACAGACAGATGGACATGGTTTAAGACGTTTCCTTCGGGTTATTACAAAGTTCGTAACAAACTTTATATACACTGTTCGGGAAAAAAAATTTGCTGGTTACCCACCATCTTCCAACAGCTCATCGTAGCTGGCGTAAGGCTGCTGTGCCACTGTGCGGTTAGTTTGCGCTGCAGCCTTTAAATCTGCGGACGTATTGTTGCTCTTCTGTATAATGCTACCCTGTAGCATATCCTCCAAATCAATATCACTGACTTTGCTGCATTTTGTAGCATGCTTTGGCGTGCTGGCGCTGGCCGTCACTAAAGTCGCTGGCGTGTTTGTGTCTGCGCTGACTGTGGTGATTGGCGTCTGTTGTGTATAGTATATGTTTTGTGTTGTTGTAGTCGCGTTAAACTGCAAAACATTCGTTTGTGCCGTCTTCGTGTCCATATTAGCGTGCGTGGTTATGGAATTGGCGCTATTATCCAGCAGTGTGCCATTTTGCATTGTAGTCAGCTCCTGTGTGAGCATGGAGAGCGTCTCCGCCACACTAGCGGGCAGCTGCATGCCATCTAAGCTGGCGATCACATCAGCACTGGTGGTGGGCGTTTGTAAGCAATCTAAACTAGCCATTAATTCGGCGCTGGTCACTGGTGCATCGATTTTCAGCCCATTTAGCAGCTCACTGTCGCTGGTCAAATCAGCGTTTGTGCTTGTCTGTTGTTGCTTAGCCTCGCCTGTAGTTGCATTGTCTGCGTTCAGACCAACGCCCACAAATGATTGCAACAATTTTTGTTGTGCCAATGCACATTGCTGACGAAACGCATATATATTGCAAAATTGTGTAAAACAATTGGCACAAATACGCTGCGGCAAGCCATCACTGTCCGAAATCTACATATTATGACAACAACAACAACAACGAAAATAATAAACATTTGTCAATATTGCAGCATATTGTGAAATGTGCGCAAATTCAATAATGACTTTAACAAAGCGTACTCACCTGTACGTGCCAATTGCCCAATTCGGTGCGCGCAAACTGCAGCTGCTCCTCAAGTCCGTCCAGTGGTTGGAAAAGATGCACAAATTCGACCTCAGCACCGGTCACGAAAAAATTCGCGCACAGGCGGCATGCTTCTACATGTGCAACCTGCTCCATAGCGTGTAACGCTTATGCGCAAATAAAGTTTTTACGTTTCTTAACACACAAATATGCTGACTTTGAGTTTTTAACTAATAGTATTAAACTTTTTTTTGTTTTCACTAAAAACAACACACAAAGAATGCAATTAGAAAAATTTACTTTTACGCGTCTCTGTTTTTTCTTATTCACTGCATGATGACTGATAAAGTCAGCTGTTTTTTGTTGTGCGACATTCGCATGGCATGCGTTCAGTGCACGCGAGTATACGCCTGGATGGGAAACTATGAAATGCGCGCGAAAAATGCATAAAGCGTGGTTGTGAAAGGCGAAAAAGGTTTGCAGTGGTGCATAATAACATGCTTCTTTAAGAGAACGTCACTGTTAAAATTTCTCCTTGCGAGCTAGCTGTGGTGAGACAAGCTCATTGCATTTTGTTAGGTTTTGACAATTCACACCCTAGACCGTAGTTGGAACTTCTCTATAATATACGTTCTCTGCTCATTCTAAAAGTAACTTATTTAAATTTAGTTAGGAGCGAAGCAGACCAAACAAGAAAAGGAAATACATTAATTCTTTTATGCTTAAAATAACACGACTTTTGGCAAATATTTTTAATTAAAAATTTATAAAATGCTCCGAAATGTCAATATGTAAAAGGTAACAGCAAATTGGTGCGCCAAAGCAACGCTGCGTTCATATGTATGTAATTTTGAAGCGAAAATATTTGTCAAATAAACGTCAACCAGCTGAAACAATAGCAAGCAGTGAGGTCATATTTGTGAGTGTTTGTGAGTGCCGGTGTTTTAAATGTAAACATATTAAATACAAATAAATAAACAATGAAATTGTAATAGCATGCGTGTGTCAAATTACATACAACTATATTTTCGTGTAGTGAATTGCTGGTGAGGGATTTTACAAAGCAAAATTGTATTGCTCGTTAGCCTAAGCGCGTAATGGCAGTTTCTTGAGCAGAAATTCGCATGCGAATTGTTTATGGTATGTGCGGATTTAGATTTATACACTGCACTTGCTGTCGTTGCACAATGAAGATTTGTCGTTTATAAACTACGACACACTCAGATACGGCTACAGCTGACAGCGAAATAACAATCAAATTGCTAAATTGAGTTTGAAAAGTGTTGATATTAATTAATCAACCATCGCTGCACACGGTTGCATTTTAAATATAATGCATATGATGTTATTGTAGTGGTAGTGGTATGATTTTGATAGCTGATTATTGTATGAATTTTCAAGTACTTTTGCACTTACCAGATAAACAAGATATAAATATAAGTATATGTAAATAAATCTGAAAAAATATACCCATCGCAGATAGTGATTCGTCCACGTTGTTTAAGCGCTTAAGTGCCACTTAAAATCTTGATATAATTTGCTGATAAGCATCACATTATTTAATTTAGGCTTACTATGCTTATTCATATAATAAAATAAAGCGCGTTGCCTAAACAATTACTACATAAGTTGTGTTTTGAAGCGTTAGGAGCTAGTAGCACGAGAATTAGCTCGCAAATTAAGCAATTATAAATAATAAATCACCAGTACTCTTCTAATTATAGTAGAAGTCATTATAGACGCAATAGTATATTTATTCCCCAAGTGCTATATAATTTATCAAAAATACAATAAAATATTTAAATATACAATGTTTAATAAAAAATAATGTAAAAATTCTAATTCTTATTACTAACTTCCTTTCTACGTTATATGTTTCCTTTTCAGCCTCCGACACACTGCGTATGAAACATAGCTGCCGAAATTTCAACATATTGCCAAACAGTGCCTATCAAACAGTCAACGCGCTAAACTCTAAACACAATGAGTGAGTCCAACGACAAAACGCATTTAAATTATATTAAAGAATATGTAGTGCCGGAAATTTTGACAAAATTGCAAGGCGAGACTTTGCTGAAGTTCGAGCTGGAGCATGCAAGCGGTCTGGACGGTTTTATGTCGGCACTCTACAACATTAAATTACATACATCGACTGCCGACGGGTGTGTAAAAATCAAAATAAAACTAAATTTGCATATTTCCACTAATATATTTGCACTAATTTTCCACACAGCGCCAAGCAGCGGCTGCTTGTGGCCAAATTCATGAAAGGCGATGTATGCTTTCGCGAGTCCAGCAAGTCGTACATACAATTTGCCAATGAAATATTTGTGTATAAACGCGCCTTGCCCGCCTTTGCTAAAGTGCTAGCCACCGCTAAGCTCAACATCACCATTGACGATTGGGTGCCACATCCTTATGTGGCGAAATTTGGTTATATTGCAGGTTTGAGCGCCGCGCCGGGTATACGTGAGTCAGTGTTAGTGCTCGAACATTTGAAACCGCGCGGTTATGTGCTGGGACCACGTCTATATCTAACGCGTGAACACTTGTTGCCAATGTGTCGTACCATCGGACAATATCATGCCATTAGCTATGCCTTGCGGTTAATTGATCCAACGCAATTGAAGCGCTTGAAAAGTGAAATAGTCACGCTGCCGTTCATCAACGATGCGGATCCGAATTATGCGGAAAATAACTTTTATCGTTATCTCTACCGCGCTGCTTTCGATCGCCTTTATGACTTTTTCGATCGTACAATTAATGGCAATACGTTTGATAAACAGAATGCAGATGATTTAAAATTAATTGAGCGTTTGCGTGATTTGCGTGCGAAATATATTGAAGAGCCAACGCGCCTATTGGAGAAAATACGCACAGGTGTTGAGGATAACGAGCAGGACAAGTGTTTCGGCGCCATATTACATGGCGATTACAATCGCAATAATGTGCTGTTCCGTTATGAAGCGCCGGTAGCCGGCGATATTGCGGCGCCTAAAGTGGCCGACGTGAAAATGATTGATTTTCAGGAGATGCGTTATGGTAGCCCCTCTTTAGATTTGAGTTTCTTCATGTACATGAATACCACTGAGGAAACGCGTGAGTCCATGTGGTTGGAAATGCTGCAAACATACCACACAAATATGTTTAATACATTGCAGGCAGCTGTTAAAGCCAATGCGAACGTTGATGCTGCGCAATTGGCGGCCTACAGGTAGGTGTATAGTGTACTACTCATGCTTGTTTAATTATATTCCTTTTTAAAATTGAAAATCGTAGTTTTGAAGCATTCCATGCACACTTTAAACGCTATGCCTTCTATGGCGTCATGATTTGTCTACACTTTCTACCCTGGATGCTCTCGAGCGAAGCGGAATGTGCGAAGATCTCGCATCTCTTCGAGACCAATTTGCGTGGCGAAGAGTTTCGTAGGGTTTCCATTGAGATTGGTGGCGATGCAGTAAATATGCGTTTGTTGGAGGTACTGCGACATGCCTGCAAAATGGGTTATATGGATGAGCTTTGAGGTTAGGTTAGTTATGTCTTAAGCGTTTTAAGACAAAGTCTGCAGGTGCCTTTTAAAGTAATTAAATATGTGTAATAAATTAGTAAATATAAAAGCAAATTTATAAAAAAAAATTGTCTCTAAGCGGTGTAAATAACAAAAATGTGCTGGTATGCTGTGAAGAAAGTGCTAGAATCTAACAATATTACTCAGCTGCTGTCTACAAATGCTTCTAAATAATAAATAAGTGCAATAAACAGTTATAAATATATAATAATGACCGTTATTTTTATAAATAAATATAAATAAACCATTTTTTATGGTCTTCATGTACATACGACAGAGTAAAACTTCGCTTAAAAGTAACGGCGTATGTGAAATGCTGATTCTTGCGTGCAGAATAGAAATTTTTGCTGCTCTTAGGAATTTACCCGAAAAATTTGGTGCAACTGTTGCAAAAAAACAAAACTTTACAAGCATACAACAGCTGTATACCGTCAGTTTGAGAGCCATTGTAGTTGACATTTATCTAACGGAAATCACCAATAATCTGTTAATTCAAGCTTATTTTTATTTAAGTCACTCCTTACTGCGTTCATAATGTGTTCGAACACTACACCTTCTAGAGCTTTGTGCTCCCTCTCCACTTCTAAACCTTTTGGGCAAAACGACAGTTTCGGAAACAGATCGATGATGACCTCTATGCCAAAGCATAAAGCTATTTACCGCTAGATAGGTCTTACTGCTACAATCACAAATGCTTTTTAGACATCTTAACTCCGAGTCTTACCTGTTGACTACTCTTTGCATAGACCATATGTAGAGACCTTCCGACCCTCTTTATGACTAACGAAGATGTGTAGTGAAGAAATAATCCACGTTTCAGTATAAGAACCGATCTTTAAAGTTTGTGCAGATTTCTCAGACAACACCTTACATATTTACCTCTGTTTAGGCTCTCCGTAAATAGTTCCGGAACTAGTATAAAAGATCTTTTCCTAAAATCATATTTCCTCCATTCAAACTACGACGACTTTTTGCTTACTTATTATTTTATTGATACTACCATAAGTTAGCTCTAAAAGTATGCCGAAGGTCTCAGCCGTAGTTACCAAACTAAAGCGATTTCCCTTGTGAAGTCCAGCTTTGAAATTTTAACGCTAAAACTTCGCGGAAATGCTTTTGTTCCTGAGTTCATTTTCCGATTGGGACTATTTCTCAAGCTCTTCCGGTTTCTGTACAGCAGTCAATTTACTCGACGGATTTTGCTTAGTTCTTGCTGTTCGCCAGCAGCTTATGTTGAGACCACTGTCCTAGAGGGATTCGGCCTGGCAGTTGATAAATCGAAAACTGCATCATCAATCATCAACGGACAGTTCTATTAATCCAATCATTACTGCTGTTCTATAGACTATCTACTGAATACCAATATCTTTGTCGACTGAATACTTGAAGTTTTTTTTTTATCTTGTTTCTCACTCTTTAAATCAGAAATATTTAGACGAAAAAAAACACACTTGTTTCTTGTAACTTGAACTTTACCAAGGCCGGCCTTCAATTAGGTTTGTTGCGCCAAATGTTTTCGCAAATCCAATAAAGATTCAACCCTGAAGTTCTTATTTCCAGCTACAAACTAAACAAACAAACTGCTTTGTTAGTTCTCCGAATAACTGTATTTATACAGTTGTTGGCATACATTTCGATCCAAAGCGCACTCTAACCTTCATGTGATTCATTTAAAAGCGCTTGAGTTCGAGCACTGTTATATCACAAAATCCGAAAGTGTCTTAGAACAAAGTAACCGTGCTTTACGCGTATATACATATTTACTAAAATTCAAAAATAATAAACGTTCTGCATAAAAAGTAATTTACGTTATACGAAAATGCTTGCCTACAGCTGTTTAGTTATTCTCGCCTTCGTGAGCTTGCCAGCTCACCTATTGGTTAGTGCAGCATCTGCCGATACGGATAACACGCCTGCAGCTCTGCCAGCAGCTACGACACCAATATGTGAGGAAACCGTCTGTCCGCGTCTATATATGCCAGTTTGTGGCCTGGTTGATGGTGAACAGATGACAACGGCCTCACGCTGTGTTCTCAACAATAAAATCAGATGCTCCTCGATATTGCAAAGAACCTTAGGCAACAGTAAGTAAATGGAGCGAGTTTAGAAAAGGAAATATGATAACTGATCTTAATGAGTAAAAATCGGCGGGCTCTGTTCTGAGACATACCAAAGTGTGTAGGACTGCGTAAAGCTCAAGTAGAGGTTGTTTTTAGCGAAAATCGTCTAAGATCTAGTGTATTTTTGGGATAATGTGGAATTTGTGAGGTACTCAGAAGCTACCGCTTGCGAGTAGAGCGCAGTTAGGGAGTTGTTTCATATTCCAAGTTGTGTAGAAACAAAAAATATCAGCTCTACCAAAAGACTAGTTCCTGTTTCAATTTTCAGTAGTTTTAGGTGCAAATTCTGCAATGGGTGATATGATCAGTAATCAGACGGAAGTGGCAATGCACTTACTAAAGTTTCGCTTCTGTTTCCTCTTTTAGAAGCTCCGACAGTAAGCTTCTTACACAACGGTCCTTGTTTGCCGAAAGCAGGTAAAAGCAGTGCAGTGCGTAGGAGTAGAGATATGGTCTTAGAGAGCAACGAAGATGACGCACGTAAAGAAGAGGATGACGCAACTAAAGCTGGCTTGGCTGATATGGAAGTAGAAACCGACGATGCTGAGGTTGAAATGGATCGAGCGGAAGAAGAGGACGACGACAAATAATAACGAAAACTTTTCGATTCGCTTGTTGAAGAGAGATTCTTTTTTGTTTTATACCATAAATGCTGTTATGTTTGTGCCTTGTGCTTAGTAATAGTTTAATAAAAAGTTTTTGTTCAGAAAATAAACTCAGTTGTTCACTCCGCTAGCACCTGCGGTCTTTGTGGTTTCACGGTAACCCGTTCATGCTTTAAGTGTATACTTACCACGCTGAAGTTAGCAGTTCTAATGAAGACCAACAGCTAAAAATCTTTTGTAATGATGGTTATTTTAATTCAACTTAAAATTTTCCAATTAAAACTAACTTAGAGCTGTGTCAGTTCACATGTTACACCGATACCATCGTGAGTTATGCTCACGGCGCATAATAGGATTGCACTCGTTTGTGTAGCCGTCGATGTTTGGCCAATGGCGCCAAGTACTTAAAACTAACTTCGCAATCCTCACAACGAAACGGTCGATCCTCCTGATGTGAGGCCATTGCATGACGTCGAAAGTCCATGGTGCTGGTAAACTTAGAAGCACAATGCTTACAACGGAAGCGATTTATATTCCGACACTTGGCGCGATGCCGTCGATAGTTGGTGCCATCGCGAAAGATCTCCGCGCAGGTGGGACAACGATGTTCGAAGAAGTGTTGATTGAGATGAGACGCACTGCGCCATTCATTCTGACCCTCTTTACATAGCGGACAATCCGTTTCCTTGCGATGCATATAGAGTAGATGATGGACTAGCTCATCGGCGCTATTGAAATTCTCATTACACGGCGGACATTCGGTGGGTGGATGTGTTTTTAGAATATGCTTGGCGTACGCTGCGGGTCGTTTAAATTTACGCGGACATTCACTACAATCGTAGACGATGGTTTTATATGTGTCTGCGCTGTGGCTACGTTTACGCTTGGGTGGCGTTCTGCAACTATCGATGAACGACATTTGTCGCCAAATTTGACTGCGAAAGCGATCAGCGTGTGGTTGTTGTAGCCGATCATAGTAGTAACGTAATTTACGTATAAGCGATTTGATCTTGGTTAGGCTGACAGAGGGCACATTACGTGATTGACAATATTTCTTATGAAGTACATCGTACGCTGCTTGTCTAAGCTTGCGATTGCGGTACTCGGGCGAGTTCGTTTGCCATAGGCATGTCTGTTCACGGTAGAGATCGATGAACTCTTCGAGAAATTGATCGGTATAGTCTGGGAGGTGAGAGGTGGAGAACTGGGAAAAAAAATATAAAATGGAATATGATGATTGTGGTAGCACAAGAGGGGCGAGCACAAGAATATGATGCTTGTGGAAGGACATAATAAAACTCTAAAATTCGCCTTGGATGGCTGCATCCAATCCATATCTCTTATATCGTTTGGTCTTTAGAAAACCAAGGTGAGCTTTGAAGACGAAATTGCGTTACTTAAATCTCCAATAAAACTTATCAAAAAACCTCGGAGCCCTAGCATAAGCGAGAATCCTGACTGGCTCGATAAATACCGTCAAAAATAACAATATATCTTCCGACGCTTTATCTAAGTATATGACTTTACTGCGGAGTCTTTATTTAGAGAAAAGTCCTAATGATGTATGCTATGAGACGATCAAAAAAGTTGGGATATAGGAAAACCTGGATATAAAGGCGTTGTTTCGTTTCGTGGTAGGCAGACTATAGATGTTCGAAAAGCAGGAATTTGAATCCAATAGTAGCAAGATACTGTGAACTTGTGAGGACTTCTGTGTCTCGTCTACAAATACCAAGGAACTACAATAATTGACACAAAAACCGTCTCCGAACTTTCGACGGATTTCTGAACATAATTCTATAGAGCTAACTTAATAAAGAATTTGGTATCAGGTTCGAAATAAGGATATCAAGCTTGCAGTTGTCCAAAACTCCATTACAATTATGAAGCTCTACACTTTAATAACAATTAAGACTTACTTTCGTTTCTACACTAACGGAGTCTCCATCACTTCTGACATGTCTTGACGATTGAGGACGTTGGCGTAGCTAAAACGAAACAAAAAATTGTGTACTTAGAAAACTCCATTTTCCATACGTACCCGCTTCAGAGAAACCACCTTATTTTTTGCGCGCAAATATGGTCTATTCCGAAAAATACCACGACGACGACGACGACTGCGTCTCAAATTAGTGGGCTCGGAAACGGTTTGCGACTGCTGCGTAGTATCCGTTGCCGTATCGAAAGTGGAACGCGAGACGTGACTACGTCTACCACTAGAATAGACTGTATCCATTGTGGATTCCGAGACCATAGTATCGGCCATTATATTACTGTTGCGTTGCTGCTTACGTGCCGGCAAATGCGCGCTCACCATGTGAGTCCACAAAGTTTCGGTGTTTTGAAAGCCGATATTGCAGAAAGCGCAGTGTTTGTCCGGCACGAGCTCCTCCACATCTTTATCATCACAACCGCGCAAAAATGTGAGTTTATCCAAAACCGCCTTCGATTTCATAGCGCGCAATTGGCGCGACACACGCCAATCAACCGCGTCATCATCCACACGATCTTTCGGCGAAGCGCCATCGGCATCGCCCAACCGCTGCTTCCTCAGGTAAATACGTATTATCTGCTGTACAATACTGCGCGCATCGCGAAACGTCACGAAGGGCATATGTTCTCGCAACTTCAACAGCAGCAACTGATAGGCATGCAGACGCTCACTGCGCGGCATGCATTCGCGCGATGGCCGATGCCAAATGCAGAAACACTTGTTCAGCAGTCCGATAACATCCAGCAAACTCTGGCGCTTAAGTGTGTTCAGATCGAAGTGGCTGTCGGAAATGGTGTTGGAGAGCGATGAGCCGGTAAAGGTGGGACTAGCGCAACTATGTGCGCTCAGATGAGAGATCTGTAAAGAGGCAAGTCATAACTTTCGAGGCAGTATGCGTTTAAATGCATTTGTGCGCACAACTTACACTGCCGCGTGCGGATACCAGCGTGTCCTCCGCAACAATGGAGAGCGCGCTCTGTGTGAGAGAGAGAATAATATATAAGTGGGCGGATGCTATCAAAAGCTACGCAACTTGAGTCGCACTCACACGTCGCACTATGGGGCCGTGCACCGCGCGACTGTGATCCAAAAAGTCAACGAAGTGTGCGAACTTCGGCAACGAATTGCATTTATTACAAATGACATTATACGAACTTGGCGGTCTCGAGTTGATACAGACCTGTCGCGTTGCAGCTGTTGCGTCCATAATCCCGTCAAGTTTGTAAATTATTTAAAGAACAATTTCAAAATTTCAAGCGAGCTGGTGCTGTTTGGCGCGTGTGGCTACTATTGTAACAATTCGTTCTTTGTTGTTGTTGCTGAAGTGTGTGGTTTGCGTATGAAATTTGAATTTTAACGGACATTTAATTTTGAGATTTGACTTTTGCGTAAATAAAATCAAACTTTAAAAGTTAGCATTTATTTGAACTTAATTTTTTTGTACAAAAAAAATTTGCTCGAAATTTTTTGCTCGCGTTTGAATTTATTAAAAATATTTTACAATGAAAATGACTTTTTTCAAAATAAAATTGTTGAGCAAACAAGCGCTGATAGCTCGAAAGAATTTCTCAGCTGGAAAGTAGTGACTACAGCTGGTGGCGTCGTAAGCCACAAAGGCTAAATGAAGGCGCATGGCCGAAGATGTTTCTTCAGAACTGAAACAACTCTTAAGCAGACTGACAGGGGCATAGCGCGTGAATTCAATTAAAAGAGCGATGATGTACCCTTTTAAAGGAAGTTGGTAAGATCCAAAGATGAAATATTTAATAACAAAGATTTATCCTTTGATTAATAGCATTCCCGTCGAAATTGGATTTGGCTCGAATAAAATCGGTCCAAAAGGCAAAACTATGACTGTCGCTTCAACTAAGTTCGACCATCTTGTCGGATTTTGTAAGAAGATCATTATATACTTATAGTATAAAGATTGTGTTTTCAGCATATAATATTGAGACCAATGAAGCTGAGTTATAATGCTGGGTACAGATTTTAGACTCTGGCTAGAATTTGCGAGTTTGTTTTACTTTAAGCAGGAAATTCCTCTTTGGGTCAGCTATCAATTTGAATATGTAAGTCCAACGGAAATTTATTTCGATATGCTAATAAAACTATAAAAGTATGTGAACAATATAGGAAAAGTGAAGAAAATAATAAAAAAAAAGCTAAATAAAAGCTTTAACAAAACTGTTGCGTAGTTAATTACAACAAATTATACGAAAAGAAATTGGGAAAAAATGAGGTACACGTGAAAAAACATCGTAAAACAAATCAAATATTTATGTTGGTTTTATAGGATTGGAATGAAAAAACAACAAATGAAAATGCAATCGTGTTAGAACAAAATGGAATTGGAACATTTATTTAATTACTTAGGTCGGTTTTATGGGAATGGAATGAAAATAAAAACAAATGAAAATGCAATAGTGTTGGAACAAAATGAAATTGGAACATTAAATAGTAAATGGGGTGGGAATAAACGAAATAAAAATAAAAAAGTGTTGAAACAAAATGGAATCAGAACATTTATTTTATTACTAAGATTGGTTTTATGGGAATAGAAGCGAAAATAAAACAAATGAAAATGAAATAGCGTTAGGAACAGAAAGGAATGGTAACATTAAAAAATGAATGGAATGGAAACAAAAGAAATGTAAATGAAAAAATATTGAAACAAAATGGAATTGGAATATTTATTTAATTTAATGTATGTTATTTAATTTATTAGGCCTAATGAAAGTATGAAAAATAGGCATGGAATTAAAAGAAATAAAATGAAAAAATGTTGAAACAAAATGGAATTGAACTATTTATACAATTTAATGCATGTCATTTAATTTATTACGCTTAAAATAAATATAATGATAATAGCAATGAAAACGAAAGGAACAAAATGGAATTGGAATATTTATTAAATTTAAAGTACATATGTTATTTAATTTAATACGCCTAAAATAAAAAGAAAGAATGAAGAATGAAACGAGATGGAATGAAATAAAAAGGGTGGAACAAAATGGAATTGGAACATTTATTTAACTAATTATTTATTATTTAATTTATTGCGCTTAAAATAAATAGTTACATCAATTATTTAGGAACGAAGTGAAAATGAAACACAAAAATCTTCAAATTTTTATATTCAGCGTATTTTATTTTCAATGTCTCATGCATTTACTTTGTAGCTTTTTTACAATCGTTTTATTTGTATAGGTGTTAACATATTTTCTTGTGTGTTTGTGTAGAAGAAATGTGGGAAATTTTTGTCTGCAGTAGTTATCTGCTAATTTCTGTTGTTTTGACACGCTGCCAAATGTTTTTGTTGTAATCATTTACATTGAGACTGTATAACAGCACAAGAAGAGCACATGCACACGTATTGGTTAAATGTATTGTATTTTTTGTTTTAATATTTTTATTTCAAGTTTTGGACTGTTTATTTTTTGATAAATTGTTTTCAAATTGAACTTTTATGTTGTAACAAACAAATTTGTACGGTACACATACATATGTATTTAAAATAATTTTGAGAAAACATGTAAGCGCTTCTTTGTTAGTTTTTGTATGCAGGGAACAGATGAAATAATTTATTATTTTAACTGTTATCTAACGATTATTAAAACACTGGCTGCCTGTGGTGGCTTCTTCCTAATATTTTTTCATAACAAAACATTTTTTTTATACAATTTTGGCTTCAATTGTCCTTTAGGTTGGTTTTACTGCAATTACATATATACTTATTTAATTATGCTTACAATCTCGGCTTAAGTTTTGTTTATTTATTAATTTTCTTTATACATTGGTGGGTTACATTTATTTCGAATGCATTTCTTTCATATGTATTTCTGTGTTTGTATGTATGTATGTGCATGAGTAGGCTTATTTACTCTGCGTTATATATGTATGTATGTATGCACTATATATTCATGAACTCCCATATACACATTTTATAGACAATTTACTATTTTGTTACATATGTATATATGTTCATTAATTACCATTTAACAGCACAAATATTTTGATGAGCTATTCTCCAGTTGAGTTGTGGCCACTGTTAATTTAAAAATTGTTAAATAAACACAAAATTTTATACAAAAATTTAGTTTACCAGCGGCAGTGGTGCAGAATATATGCATAAAAATCGCTTTCCAAAGCAATTTTACCAACGGAACGTAATGGAAATGAAACGAGAAAATTGAAATTTATATATCTAGCTTACGGAAACCAATTTTAAATAATAATTTGCGCCTAAAACATAATCGGAACGAATTGAGAATGGAACATAGAAAAAAATTTTGTGGAACTTCAAAATAATAGTCATAATGAACACAACTGCTAGTTTTAATGTGTTTTAAAACGAGACTTTGTCTAAAAAATTGTGTGGAACAATGTGTTAGTGAAATGCTACATATGAAATTGAATTGAAATTGAAATGTGCAAAACTTGTAGAACTATCATATTAAATATTAATTCTTGAGAAAATTTTACATATGTAGATAAATTACATAATAATTCGGCTTAAAATATAATTGGAACGAATTGAAAATGGAACATAGAAAATAAACGTCATGGAATTTGCACAGAATAATCGTTATAATCATAACAATGTGAGTTTGTTAAGAAAATGGCTTAAAAAATTTGTTGTGGAACAATATGGTAGTGAAATGCTATGCTTTGAATCGCAAATAAATTGGGCAAAATTTGTTGATCTATTATATAAGTAATAAATCAGCATATTTAGAACATAGAAAATATTATATAAGAGAAGCAAACGTATAAGTTGAACGACGAAGTGGAATTGAATCGAAACGAAATGATTATGAATAAAAGTACAAAAACAAATCATAAAAAAACAGTAAACAACAACGGTAGATAATATGTAAATAAAATTATTATAGAACACTGAAATGTTCTGAAATACACATTTTTGATAAAAAAAAATTTAAAAAACTATTCCATTTTGCACATAAAGTTATAGAATATTGTTAGAAGTACTCAAAACGATTTGGAATTGAGACGGTACAAAATGAATTTGAAACGAAACGTTGTGAAAATGAAAATTATTGCAAAAATATGCCGAAATTAAGAAAACAAGTGCTAAAAGAAATAAAAATTTTCGAAACGAAATACAGTTGCGGCGGAATAGAATGAGAATTAAAAAAACTTTGTGAAAATGAAAATTATGGCAGAAATATGCCGAAATTAAAAAGTACTTGGTAAATAAAAGTTTTGGAAACGAAATGGAATTGAGGCGGAACAAAATGAAATTGAAACAAAACTTTATGATAATTAAAATTATTGCAGAAATATGCCAAATTAAAAAACCGTTACTTAAGGTCAGTGCTTGCTCTTCTGGTACGAAGTGGAATTGAAACAAAAGTTAAAAAAATCATATTTTTTATTTTGTTTAAAGTATTTAAAACTGTTTTAATAACAACTGCACTATCTATACACGCGCTGCCGCCGGCAAACCGCTTTCAAACAATTTATGTTTTTTTGCCTAAGTATTTAGAAATACTGGACTTCCTTTGGCGTTTGAATACCTATGTTTATGTTTGTATATATGTATGTACAAGCTTAAAGTGTTTTGGTTTTTTTATATATATATACATACACATATGTATACTCGTATATGTATATATATATTTGCTTTATTTATTATTACTATTATTACTATTTTTAGTTTTGTTGTTGTTTTATTATTACATATTTACTTATATACTTATGTACAAACATGAACATATATGTATATAATAAATGTATGCGTTTGTAGTAAATTTCGCGCGGTTTTGTGTTGTTTTTGTTTAGTTTCTTTTCGTCTAAATACTAAATCGTATCAAAATTTGTCGAGAACTTTTGGTTTTTGAAAAATTTTGTAATTTTTTGGTTTTTTACTTTGCAAAGTTTTGTTTACATTTATGTATTTTTTAAATATAGTTTTTTTTAATATATTTTTTTTATGTTATTAAATATAATTTATATTTATATGTATATTTTTATGTTTTAAATATATTTTCTATTTTTTATTTTTAAAAATATTCTTTTTTTATTATTTTGTATAGTGTTTTTTTTTGGTTTTGTTTTGCAGTAGTATTTGTGTATGTATGTACATATGTATATTTGAATTTTAATTTACACTCATTTTAAGCAAGTTTTTATTGTTTTTTTTTCTATTTTGCTTTTGGTTTGCTAAACATACATAAGTATATAAAAAAATCATTAAAAATTAAATATTTTTCGAAAATTATATATATTGAAAATTATATACATTTTGAAAATTATATATTTTAAAAATTGTATATTATTTGAAAACTATATATTTTTTTTGATAATTATATATTTTTCGAAAATATATTATTTGAGATTATATACATTTTTTTTAAGTTATACATTTTTGGAAAATTTTATATATTTTTAAATTATTTTGGTTAGCATCATTACATAAGTATATAAAGAAATGATTAAAAATTATTTTTTTTTTGGAAAATTATATATTATTTGAAAATTATATATATTTCGAAAATTATATACATTTTGAAAACTATATAAATTTTGAAAATTATATATTTTAAAAATTGTATATTATTTGAAAATTATATATTATTTGCTAATTATATATTTTTCGAAAATATATTATTTGAGATTATATACATATATATGTATTTTTTTTTAAGTTATGCATTTTTGGAAAATTTTAAATATTTTTAAATTATATATTTTTGAAAATTGCCTACTTTTATTAAACCATATATCTGTTTTTTACTAACCGTTTATTTTTTTTACAATATTTTTCCCATATTCATTTCTTTTATTTCAGGAGCATACAATGCTGTTATTTTTTATTATGTATAAATATTTAACTATGTACTATTAGTTGCCATATTGTACAATATACACTTTAATTTTTGTAAATTTTTTGCTGCTTTAAAGGTACGCTTTGCCAACACACACGTATGTTTATATATAGGCATATATTTTTACCTTTATATATATATACATATACATATATATTTTACGCCATGCATGTATAAAATAATTTATAATCTCTTTTTTTAATTTTTCTTTTAGCTGCAAAAAAGGGCTGTTTTGAAAATTCAGCCGATTGAAATAATTTTTTTATGTTTTTTTTAAATTTAATTAATTTTAATTTTTTAATTTAATTTAAATTTTTGCTTTAAATATACAATTATACTTGTAAAACGTAGCTATGTACATCCATACATATATGTAGTATATAATATACATGAACTTTATGTATAGTATATAAGGGTAAAATTTACTTTATTTGTATGATATTTGTTTGTGTTTGCGTGAGTAACGTTTTATATAACTGTATATATGTTTATCTATAGTTACATAGGTACATACGTATAATATTGATTTTTTTGTAATTTTTTTTTCAAGAATTACATAAGTTCCTTTTTACATTTCACATATAAATTTTCCTAATTATTATACTAAATTTATTTTTCACAATTAATTACACAAAAAATGCGCGTGTTTTAGTTAATATTATTTTCATTAAATTTTTTTTACTCATAAAACGGTTAGAATTTTTTATTGGCATTCACCAAGCAACTTTTATTGATTTTGTTTATTAACAATAATGCAATATTTTTTCAAATTTTCTTATACCACGAATTTTAGCTACGAATTGTCGCAATTTTTACATATACCATTTTTACATATACATACACAGTAAAGTGTGAAGTAAATTTAAATTCTATTTTCAAATATTTTTCACTTAGACAAAATCATCTTTACCAATAAACCGTTAAATAAAAATAAAAAAAGTTTTATATTAGTCTTTGTTTTTCAGTAAGCGTTTTAGGTTCATATTTTGTTCTCATTCAGCATAAAAAATGCTCTCATTTGAAATTTGCCTTCTCTCTCAGTGTAAACCGTACTTAAGGTTTTCGAAAATTCTCCGTCAAACTTAGTATATACTTTTAAGTATTATAAATTTATGTAATTTTATTCAATTGGGGTGAATGTGACAGTTGAAGGCATGTTAGTTTCGATTTCGACACACAAATACATAAATAATTCAAATAGTAAAGCATACTTTTAGGTGGTTGATATATACTGCGCGGTAATTAGACGCACACACATATATACGGAAACATACATTTAGGCGGGTACAGATATAAATATGCGTAGCTGTTGGTGATTGGTGATTGGTGTTGGCTGACAAGCTTGCTGGTTGGGAGGCAGCGAAGAAGTAGAAAATTTTTCGGTAATACATCAAACAAGAATGCCATATACGTGCAACGTATCATAAAAACAATTTTGAAACAAAACATACTCGTATATGTATAGACTTCAAAACTATATGAAAAAATTATAAATAATCTTTAAATGCGTGAGGAATGCTATGGCATTAAAACCAAATATATTTCATCTCCAAAAAATACATAAAATATTGCAATTTTTGTTTAAAATGCATTTTAAATTGGAAATTAGTATATGAAACGATATGGAATCGGAACGGAATGAAGTGGAATTTGAGGGGAACCTCAAAATAATTGCAACACTACAACAAACAGAAAATGCTTAAATATTTCGTGTAAAAAATGTACGAAATTTATAAGAAACGTGTGGGGAATGGAACGAAGTTTACTCGAGTGCAAAGTATTATGCATAAAATATTAAATATTAAACTCTTAAACAAAATATGAATTCTGTAACGTAAAATCACCTGACATGGCTGAAATGTGCTTAAATACGATATGGAACGAGTTGGAATTGGAACGAGCGCTCCGAGGTGGTAATAGAACGGGTTTGAATTAAAAAGTAATAAATTTAAAGATTGCATACTCTTTTGGCGGGTATATTAATTTCGCTGTATAAACACTTTTTACGCAAATAGTATAAACTAAATAGAAATTATGGCAGTGGGACGCTTTGGAAATCATATTTTCACTTTGTCTAAATGTCAAAATTGTGCGTGTTTTCATATCACGTCATAGATTAGCTTAACGAAACAGTTTTACCTTAGTGTTTGAGCTAAGTGTATCTCAAACATATATAATGATTTGAAAACTTAAGTTCCTAGAGAGCGCAGAAATCGCCAAAAACTGCCTGCCTATAAACCCAACACACTCACCACCAACAACCAACCACCGATTTTTCTTTACGTCCACTCCATTTATTTAATGCCTACGACCACTGCTGCTACCGCCACCATCGCTGCTGCCCGACGCGCCATCTGCTGCCCAACGCTTACGGCGCGATTTCTGCATTTGCGCCGCAACACGACTCGTACTCGGCGCGACCTCGAAGCTCGCATACATCTCCACCTCATTATCCAGCGCATCGTAAGTTTCCGTGGAGACGCCACGTACAGATATCGCAATCGCACGTGCATACTGTTCTTCTTCCGCCTCGTCATCCCCATCGTCATCACGATCATCACTTGTACGTCTTCTCATGACGCCGCCACCTTCACCATGCTCGAAATCGAAACTAACATTCTTACTATCTCATCCACCCCGATGCACTTGTACCGTTGCCTCGGCTGATTCTTGGCTGCGCAACTGCTGTCGGTACTCGTCCAACTCCTGCATGCGATAGGTGCCCAGGTTCACCTGCATCATAAGTGTCTCCATGATGCGTTCATTTTTGAGCGCTTTCGAGGGCAAGACCACCGTCAAGAGTTCGCTTGGCGATATGCGACAAAGATTGAGATCACGCGTCAAACGTTCCATAATGCATTCGAACTCGAATTGTGTATCCTTATTGGGATGATTCTTCATTTTCGCCACCTTGTTCTTCGCCCACATCAGCATCGCTTCGAATTTACGTATCTCGGGCGTTTGCAATTCCCGATTCATAATCATCTGCACCATCGATTCGGAGAGATTAAGATATTCGGGACATTTAAAGAGGGCATGCGCTTTGTTCTCGACAAAGGAGAGTATCATGTTGACCAACTCGGAGGCGGACGTGTAGCGCCAGTAGTAGTTCTCCAGCGAAATCAGCATCGGGCAGACAACCTCGATGCGCAGGAACTGTTTGCAATGATGAAAGCAAGCCTGCAATAGCTCGGGTAGATCATAATGTTCTGCAGCGCATAACAGACCTGCGAGAAACCCCAAATAAGAGAGGTACACATTGTATTGCGTTCAACTTGAAACGTTCTTCGGATGCTTACCTGGTATGGAGACACATGTCAGCGGACACGTGCCCGTATGCAGATAATCCAACAAAACCCGAAATGTGTCTGGATCGAACTCGATGATGTTGAACTCTGTCTGTGCCAACTTCGCGCGATCGACCTTTTGTGCGTCGGCACACACCGAGAGCCGCGGCACAGCCAGCTGATTATTGCCCGGCTTATCCTTATCTTTGTCTTTGCTGTCTCGATCTGCAGAGATAGGAGCAAAGAAGCGAAGAGAAACGAAAACAAAAATTTCGCACGAAACGAAGAACGAAATGAAATTGATAAAACGACGCAAGTGGAACCGATGATCGGTAAAAATTAGCGAGTAGTGTTGGTGGTGTGGAAGTCGTGAGAAATATGTAATGTTTATAAGAATGATGAATGTTAAAAAAATAGAGATAAAGAAAGAAATAAAGAAATGAAATGCAATTTTATGCATTGCGATGCATTTTTGTTAGTTTTTTGATAATGGCCATTTTTATTTAAAAAAAAAAAGTAAATATCACAGATTTACGTACAAATTACAACATGAAAGGTGAGGTGAATACGTGGTAAAACATATGAATTTGTGAATAAAAATACAGTAAAGTAACGTTTAAGTAAGGTGAACATATACATGTAAAGAAAAATATGAAGTGAGCATGACTTGTTGTGCGTGGTGAGTTTGATATGCGGCATATGTCGTACATTTCAGAATGTCATGTAGATTTTAGGCGTTTTATTAGATGAAATTTAATTTTATAGGCGTGGTGAAAAGTAAAAAAGTGTGGTGAATTTGTAAAATTTTGCAAATTTACGTTTTATGATGGGTTTTTTCATATATAAATATAAAATATTAGCCGCGGAAAGTACAAAGTGCAATACAATATGATATTTCAGTTTAATATTTTAATTTTTTGGTCCGATTATAGAGGTACATTAACATGAAATTTTATTTGATGCGAAATATTATAAATTGAACAGTTAAATTGGAGTTCGATTTTTTAATTTAAATGTGGTTTTGGTGCAAATATATATTTTTTCAAAATGTGTGGTGAATTTGTTGGTAAATATGTTTCCAATTTATTTTAGTGTTTTTACGTTTTAATTTGTATAAGTATAGCAGTTTTTATGGAAGTAAATTGCATGAAGAGTTTTTGCAATGTGTGGTGAGTTTTGTGGTGAATATTTTTTGTGATTTTTTTGTTACAAGTTTATATTTTCAAAATTTGAATATCGGTGTGCCAAATAGTAAAATGAATAGCAGGCTCGCCAGCATGTGGTGAATTTAACATAGTTTTTTATTCAAAGTGGTCACGTATACGTGTGTTGGTTTTAATGGGGTGTATGGTATATTTGGTGTTGCATGATTTGTTAATGAAATTATTCATTGATATAGGCACAGTTTAGGTACAGTTTAAAATTGTACATTTTATTGGTGGTGAATATGATTCATAGACAAAAATTTAACGGAATATTAAGAAAAGATTTAGCATGACAAAGTTATTACGAGATTTGAGCACAAACAACAAATATATTGATGAAAAGTTATTTAAAAAAGTGTGGTGAGTTTTAAAATAATTTTAAAATATGCATAAGGTCATAAAGGAAGTTTATACATTTCGTAGACAAAGTGTTTGCGAATTAGAAGGCATTCGTGGTGAATAAAATATATTTGGTGATTAAAGCAAATCGATGTGTACAATTTTAAAGTGCATACAAATTTAAAATAATTATTTTTTTCAAAATAAAAACAAAAATTATGACGTAAAATCGAAACACATCACATTACATACGACAAGATGTGCCGTTGTTAGTGGTGAGTTTCAAAATATCATATATATATATTATACAAGCATTAGTTTAATAGTAGTATAAGTTCAAGTATATTTATATATAAAAAGGTAGTTCACAAAATACGAGTTCCAAGACATTGGAGGCACCATCACAATAATCAACGAACGTTCAAGGTGTTTATTTTACACGGCAGACAGGGAAGATACATTACGAATTGGTTCAACACACGCACAGAGAGTAGTAGAAAGGTATAAAAAGAAACAAAAAAAAACACATCGATATATTTGTATTCATGTGAACTGAGACTCTTACTGGAACAATCCGTTGAAGATATCCATTTCTTTTTATCCTCCGGATTCAGTTGATTCGTATTCTTATTACGTATCGAACGACCCCAACCAGCGGTGATGGTACCCAGCCGACTAAAAGCCCGCTTTACCATCGGCGATGATGGCACACTCTTCGGTCGTATCGAATCGGAATCGGGCACTGTAAGATAGTTGTTGCTTTTCGGCTTTTGATTTTGCGGTGACACGAGTGATGGTGCGGGCCGTGCGAAAATCTCAGCGACTGGTATTTGCGGCGAACCGAAACCGGTCTGTATACCGTAAAGCATTTCCTTTTATAGTAGAGTAAGTAAGTGAGAGTGATTAGTATAGATTTGTGAGTATGATTTGTTAGTATAGATTTGAGAGCGTGAATGTTGAGCCACCAGTTATTATCGCAACTTACCTGAAAGACACGACTACGCACACCCAATATCGCGCGTACGCCTATGAAACGCGCCTTTTGCTTCGACTGCCCCACCAGGAAGACTACATCGAAAAGATGCGCATTTTGCAGGCACGACGGTTCTTCGTTTAAGAATACACGCGTAAAATCTTTCGCCAACTGATCGTAGTCTTCAAACTGATCGCGCACCGAATCCAGCAGCGGCGAAGAGGGGCGCATGTGACCTGTGGAGACGAGAGAGTTAGAGAGTGAGTGAGAACAAAAGTTTAGTTTTTGAAAGTGCTTTAATGGAAAATAGCGGTATAAAATTAAAGTTTAAAATTATTCAAAGACTGGTTTAGTAATTTTAAAACAAAATAATGTTTCTTTGGATCAAAGGCAGTAGTGGGTTTTAAATTTTTATAAGGTCGTATTATATAAAACTTTAAACGAAATAATATAAAATTTGTTGAGGTGAGGTGCGGCAAGTTCCAAGCAATGCATGCAGGCTGCAGTTAAGAGTTAGAAAGCTCCCAAAATATTTATGTAAATAACTCTTATTATATTTAGAAATACAACTTAAACTCACATATATAAAAAAAAAATTTTTTTCTTGGAAAAAAAATTAAATTTTTCCCAACTAAACATACTTTTTTTGCGTTCATATGTTCTAATTGCATTTCAAGGCATTTACTACCCTCTTTGTTAAACCTGAATATTTATTTATATAATTTAAATTTTTTTTGAAATTTTTAAGCACACATTATATGCATACTTTTGTGGGTTACTATATTTTGTTTTAATTAAAAGGATTTAATCATATCATATTGCAGGCTATTCAGTGCTTTGCTTTACAAATCTATAATTATTATATACATTTTTTTTTTAATTTTTGAAAATTTAAACGAAAAAAAAGGTATTATGTAACACAAAATTTTTCAAAAAGTTAAAAAAAATTTCTAAATTTGTATAACAAAAATATTTGAGAAAATTTAAATAAAAATAATAATTATGAAAAAAAATCTTTTCAAAAATTTTTTAAAATTTTTTTCTAAATTTCTTTTTTTATATGTTTAAAAATATGAGATTTTTTTTTAGGTTCCAAAAACTTAAAAAAATTGTATTAAAAGAATTGTATTGTAACTTAAAATAAGTACTTTTGAAAAACAAATTTTTTTAAAACTTAGCATATTTTTGTGCGTTGACATTTTTAAATTGAACGTCAAAACATATTAGATTATAGCAAAGAATTTATTAACATTCTCTGATTATAGTACCATATTTGTTGGACCTGCTTATTTATTTATATAATTTTAAGTTTTTCCAAATTTGCATCCACTCTTGTTTGTGCTTGGGGGCTACTTTTGCTTCGATATATTTTTTATTACAAGGATGTAAAGATATCATATTTAAAATCATATATAAAAATAGCCTACATTGCATTCCAAATATAAAATTTTTATTAAACATTTTTTTTTTAATTTATAAAATTCAAACTTGAAAAAAAAAAATTAAAAAATTTAATTTCTTTGTTAATGTTTTAGAATTTGAGTTTTTTTAATAGAAAAAAAAAATTTAAAAAACTGAACTTTAAAAATACAATAATTTTGAAAAACGAAATTTTCCAAACATTTTTTTCTAACTTCTGTTTTTTTGCACAATTTTTATTTCGGATTTTTTTTATTTTTCAAAATATTTATTTTCTAAATTTCTGTTTTTTTAATGTTTGAAAATCTGTTATTTTTTATAAAATGTAAATATTTTAAAAACAAAATTTTTCAAAAATTTTACTAAATTGTTATCAAAATCCCTATTGTTTTGGATTTTGGAGAATCTGCTTTTTATAGCATTAAATACTTAAAACAAAAATTGTTTGTAAAATCAAAATTTTTCAAAATAAAATTTTTTTTATAGTTTTTTAAGTTTTTTTTTATGTTTGAGAACCTGTGATATTTTTTTATAGAATTTATGTAGTTATTTTAGAAAATTTAAACTTTTAAAAGCAAATAATTTTGAAATATGAAATTTTCAAACATTGTTTTCTAATTTTTATTTTTGAATTTCTATTATTTTTATTTGATACTCTCAAATATCCGATTTTTTTTATAGAATTAAATATTTGAAAAATTTTTAATTAAAAAAAAAAAAGTTTTTCAAAACAAAATTTTTACTTAAAAAAATTGTTTTAAAAAACAATTTTTGAAAATAATTTTTTTTCTTGAATTCCTCTATTTAATGTTTAAGATTATGATTATTAATATTATAGAATGTTAAGTTAAAATTTTTCTAGAATTAAACTTTTCTGTGATTTGTTGATAATTTTTTATTTTTTTTGCTAAAATCTGCGTCCTCTAAAACGTTTGAAGCGTGTCCTAGACACATATTATTTCATCTTTCATCATATTAAAAATACACAACAATAAACGTGGTATTGACATGTCTCGCCTAACTGATCCACCTAACCACCGACAAGCACAGCAAAAAGTCCTCTCGTGCGCTCGGTATCAAGCGAATTGAGAAATCCAGGCGTGTTTCTGTGCGTATAGTTAGTAAAATTGTATGTGTGTTGTTGAGCTTATGTAAGAAAAGAACGTCGAAGTGGTGTAAACGGTATGCGTTACAAGAGCACGTGTCTCTGAAAATGTCCACACACACACACATTCACTGAAACTCACAGCTGGAGGTGGCAAACGCCTTAAAGTATGTAAGCGCGCTAGTGGCAAAACTGCTTCTTTTAGTTAAGGGTTTGAGCCATTTTATCGGCAAGTCTTTCTGAGCTATTTGTTTTATGATCAACAGCAAAATGCGTATATAAATAAGGGTATTAATTGTGTACACATGTTTATTTGTCTAACTGTTGCTACACCGTACACCCATTAATATTATATATATATATTTTTTTGAATACTATACTTTTCACATACTTTTACAAGTCTATTTTTACTCCTTAGCCACATTTGTTTACATATCTATGAATGTGCGTGTGTTAGTGACATTTATTCTTTCCGTTATACTTGTATGCTATGTAAGCAAGCGGTATAGAATGCTACAAACACCATCGCAATAAAATCGTAATATTTACTAACTCTAAGCAGCTATTGAGATGACAAGGACATCTGTTACCTTGCAGCCTCGTATCCTTGTGCCATCCATAGACACATTCAATATTACACACACTCGTACACACATTTTCAGCTCTCGCTATTTCTCTCTCGTTCCAACCTGCGCTCGATGTGTCCTTGCCAGCTAACGGTAATTGCGATTGCTCCTTTGCGTAGCCCAAGAAATGCCACAAGCTTTCTTTGTCATGTTCTTTTTATGCTCATTTAGTCCTTCACATATTCTTACTTATTCAACTAGCTATTGTGCTTTTACGTACTTCCACCAGACATCGACAACAGCTTAGTACGGAAAGAGTTAATTGTCTTGCTGTTCATATTATACGCGTAGCACTCAATACTTGGCTCAGTACTCAAGCTCAAGTACTCAATGTTCGATTGGCAGTCTAGATTTAGCTTCAAAAATCACAAGTATGCAACGCCTATTCATTGAAAGCTACTTCAGCTTAAAGTGACCGTCGTTTAGAAGCTCTCTTAAAAGCTCTATAGCTCGTGTGATACCGAGCACTGTAAAGTTTTGACAATCGTATACTTCCTAACCATTAAAATATTTAGATTTAAGTTTTAACCGAATTTACGTTTTTACAACCTTTAACAGAACTTCACGAAGTCTTTCCGGATTCTTTTACTCGTTGCACTTTCGAATATAAGACATTGTAAGCTTTTTGTTTTATCTCTTCCTCTACACAACTTTCAACAACTTTATTCTGAGCTCACTTAGCCTTTCCGTAAATGTTAATCTAGTCAGAAACCCCAAAAACAGTCCGATAACGTTAGTCAAAACCTTAACTTCCCTTATCACAACCTCTAGCAGTACTTCGCGGAGTCTTCAGAGTTTACATTTTTATAGCTCTGCTCCTTGAACCTTCAAGTATAAGGTACTGAAAGCATTTTTTTAAAACTTTATCTACAATATATTGAACGATTGTATGCTGAGCTCACTTAGCCTTTCCGTATATCTAGTTCTGATTAAAACCTCTTCAAACCCTATCGACTTTCTCAGTGATCTAACTATACGAAAAGTGTCTGTAATAGAACATGCTCAGTTCGGCCGAAACCCCTTCGACCACACAAGTTCTGTCTTCTGCAGTATGGGGCGTCTGAACCCTGTATCTTTGGTACCAGCTTGCATTATTTATAGAAATCTTGCTTTATCTCTTTAATCCACGGACGGATTTGTGCGTTAAACTTAACAGTACTGCTCTTTATCATCTCTGTATCAGTTTCTGGTATTTTTGCTTAGGGATCAAATTCTTTCATGGGTTGGGTTGTCAGTCAAGCATCTTAGAAGAACCCACTTTGAAACTCGATAACCTTCTGTGGGATTTTCTAAATTTTTTAAGCAGGTACTTAAGTTTGATTTTATACCTTAAGTCCTAACTTCTGCCTTTTTTGCTTCCGTTTGGGTATATCATGACGGGTTCGAGTTCGAATATGGTTTTATATTCAAAAAGATCACTAGCGATTGCATAAAAGTTGAGCTTTTAGATTTTTTCAAAGTTTCAGGCGATAAGAGGGGGTCTTGTATGTATGGAGATCGCTTTTGATACTATTAGAGTTGAGTTTTTAGGACTTCTATAATTTTAGGCTGCTTGAAAAGCTGATCGAAGTATTAAGCACTAGCTTGCAAGGCTCTGGTGCACAATTCATGTGGTCCTCAGGCCTTAAATTCCAACGACCATGCAAACAATGCCCGTTTATTTTTTGACATCGCACACAACTTCGGCGCCTTAAAGTGTGCCTACACAGCAACTCAATCATGCCCTTTATATGAAGTTTATCATTCACATACATATTTATAAAGTTCTTGTAGGTTTTTATGCTCTCTTGTTATGCCAAGTATATTTTACTTTTTGAATCCTCGTATTTTTGTATTTTTCTTTGCTTTTTATATTACTATTTTTCATCCACTTATATAATATACGCTTCTTCATCAACATATGCTTTTGTTATCGCTTAGTCATTCACACGGTTCGCCATTGCATTTGCTGCGAAGTATCATCAAGCTTAGCGCCGCCAAAGTCTAACGGAATATTCGCATGATTGATGAGATTTTCGCACGCAAATATTTTGTGGCAGACGGCGGAGGGATGTAAGCAAGTGGTCACAGCCGCTGGATGTAGTGATTGTACTTACTTATATAAATATTATATAAGACTGAAAGTGGCGTGAAGACGTCTGTAACGGAACTTGATGGAACTCATCAAATAAGGCATTGTTGTATGCACGAGTGGATGATATCTTTTGCATTTGTTTGAAATATTGTTTTTAATTTTGTGTTTAACCCAACAATGCTATGTGCTATGGGTTCAGTGATAGAAAGGGGTTGAGAGGCGCACAAATTTGTATGCTCTGAAGCGATTACAATTGGCTAGTTGGAGAAGTGTTTTGGAAGATTGAAAGAAGACAGTTTTGTTTGAAGTTTGTGTGGGTCAATTGCTGTGGCTTTGAGCCTTAAACGAAAAATAATTTATGATGTAGCAGAGTGTGGAACGCACTCATTCGCTTAGGAAGCTGTAAGCTCGCTTATGGATTCGTTGTTAAAGACTGATATAGTTAATTGCTTTCGAGAGTATGCAAATACTTAGCACTGACAGAGCTCGCGGCTTCGAGTACCTTGAATTTTTCTACCAAACTAACTCCTTCTCAGGAGTGCCGCATGTTTTTGGTGTACTGTATTGCTAAGCTCAACGGAAACCAAGTTTGAAATATTTCAAACGAACTTTTCGTTTGGCTTTCACTAAAGAACATACTTGTGAGAGCAATCAAGTAAAAAGTTGCCGAGGTGTTTTTTACTCCAAACTATTAGGACTAAAAAGTCGCCTGCTCTACTAATGCTTGAATTCATCTTTTATATTTGCAATCATGGAAGCGATTTGACTGAGGTTACTGGAGTCCATCATTCGTATTGTCATTACTCGGCTCGTTACACATATTTTCTGTCCACCAGAGGAAGATCGTGGCTAATGCCAAGATTGAATCCACATCAATTGTGGTTGAATGAGGTTCGATAAAAGAAGACTTAAGTCGTTTGTAGGAACTCGTTAAAAATACAATGCGCTCAAGCGATCTGAAGTCGACTATTCTACCATCATTAACCATCGCACCTTTTTAACCACCGTCTTATTAACAAATGATGTACTAGATTAACATGTCGACCATAAACTATTACTCTCAACGATTGTGAGAAAGCCTATATAAGCTTTTAAGTTTCACAAGCGATGGTCGGCATAAAAACCCTGAACTGGTCGAAACTGGTATCATATTTTCTATAAGTGTCTAGTAGTGAATTTTGCTTTTGAAGTATTTCAAGCTCATGGTCCACTTAATTAGAGCGTTAAGTAAAGAAAAATAAAAACCTTCCTTTTTGATTATTACTTTGAAAGCACCTACACGTGTCCATTTTTTCTCTAAGGACATATGGCATACTAAGGTATTCTTCAAAAATCTATATTCGTTATACTTCTAAGTAAAAGCTCATTGAAATGTATACTCTTCAAAGTACGCTTACTAATCATGTTTTTCAGTTATGAACTTAAAGTATTAATTTTTTTTGTTTTTGGTAAACTTCGAAGAACCGATGCTATTTTTAAGTGAAAATTAAGCAGAAACTTTATATTTGAAAGGACATTCGCAGGATTTATTATATTTCTGAATAAAATATAATTACTTGCCAAATGTGTTATGTATAATTTATGACGCACTAAGTTGACAAATCGTCTGTTTTTGTACACAAACTTACAAATATATCTAGTTGTATTCCACTATATAGGTATATATATTTACTAATAATAATATAAAGACTATTTTAGTATATTGTAAAAGTAACTGTCGTTTAGTAGCTTACACAGTGGGCGTATATACTTCCGTTGATACGCTGAGCTGATAAAGACTGTTTGCTATATTTTAGTGCATACTTCAAGGCGTTTATGCGCACTTTTTTAACTCAAGTAACATAAAAGCAAGTATATGAAACAAAGTGCGCGCTGTCAGCGCGGTAAATACACACATACACATTCACACAGTTAGCTTGAGTGTTTGCTAACGAGATAGCCACATTTACAAATACAAATTGCCAAGCGTATAGCAACAAACAAATCACAGCATGATATATGATAATATTTGTTATTGTTGCTACATGCCTGTAACATATGCTCGGAACGCTGACTTGCCGCTCACATATCCTGTCAGTTATTCGAACGTATGCTAAAGCACACGAGAGTCAAAACAAGTAAAATGTACATACATATGTGTGTATGTATAAGTGCTTACGCACTTCCGCAAATAAATGCATAAATAAATACAATATGTGCTTGTGGCAGGCGGTAGGATATATACGCGCGTCAGTGGTTGCGCTGGTGGTGGTGCGAGATGCTATACTCTGGATACACCTAATGCAACGCCCAAAAGTAGGCAAATATTTCTACCAACACAGCTAGTTGCTATAATATGCACACATACATAACCATATGTAAATATGTTTTCGTTGTTGCATAAGTTTAACTTCGATACATGCTTGCTGTCAGCTAAACTGACTAGCGCTGGGCGGGCTCAGAAACCTATGCTGGCCTCTTTTTTGTCGTGAAGCCGCGAGCGTACCACTTTGATTGCATGTAACTGATATGAGTTTTTGCCACAAACATACATAAGTAGTTATGTAATTGTAGTAAAAGGAGGAAAATGTAGCACGGCACAAACTTGCAAGGTAGAGCTGCAAAAACACTACAGCACCTAAAAGTAGCTAGCTATATACTCTTGTGTATATGCTTAATTTACGCTCAAGTAGAAATATATTCTTGTATCGAGTTAAATGTGTGTAAATGTGTGACACTGATTTGTCTTGTTTTCTTTTCGCTTTACGTAGTGCCCTTGCGTAGCTTTGGCATAGTTAAGCGCGCCTCAAACTATGCTCAATAAAACAATTGTTGGTCATGTGACGCTTACAACTATTAATCATGGCCGACAATCTAAGCGCAAATGACTGAACATGTTGTCTTATGTGTGTAGTGATGTTTATATCTACATACGCTCTTACGCCACTAGCTTTTTGCACTCGGATTAAATGTGAAATATATCGACATTTGACATGTCCACCAAGCTTGCATATCTCACACTAAGCTGATTAGAATGCAATAGCAATTAGTGTGCGAGCAACCAATATATTGAACCGGAATTGATAAGAGAAAATGTTTGGTTTCGAAAGGGATTTGCTTGCGTGCGTAAATTGTGGTGTGTTGAGTAGGGCGCGTACTAAATGGTGGTAATTAGTGTAAAAGCATAAGGAAATGTGGAAGTGGATACAGTGTGTTCACTTTATTGTGTGAGTAATGTTAAAAAAATAGTAAAATTAGTTAAAATTTTGTGAAATACCTGCCAATTTGAACTGGCCTAAAGTGGTATAAATATTTTTACGGTGAAGAAGCATCTTCTTTATGTAGTATGAATGATAAAGTGGCCTTTAAAATGCTTTTAAAATAATGGCATAAACTGGTCGAAAAAATTGTGGTGCATAAAAACAATTTCTGCAATAGTTATTGCTTGAAAATTTATAAAAAACTAGTATAAACTTTTTTTTAGTAAAATTTAAGTTTTTCGAATCATTAACACGTAAATAATAATTTGCAATATTTGTTCGAGTGCTTCATGATTCCTAAATTGCCTAATGCGCACAGAAATGCATGATAAACTGGCGTAAATAGCACTTCACTTGCTTGGTTGGTATAAAATACTCGATATAAATTTATAAAAAATTAATATACACACTATACATGTCTAATGTTTTGTCATTAAAAATTGGTCGAACAGCGTAAAACCATCCCAAATTGCATGATAAGCTAGAAGTATTGTTGTAAACATTAAACGTAAAGCATACAATAAATAATAGTATAATTTTCAAAACAAATGTCATATAATACATGCTTCTTAAACTGGTATAATTGAAAATAAAAATAAGAAGATAATATTTAAAATTCAAATATTTGTATTTTAACGTTAAATAAAAATTTCGATATAAGTTTTACAAAATTGTGTAGGCTGTTCGGGACTTAAAATTTAAAGTGCCGTAATTGGTATAAAATAAAGCCACAAATAAATCTAAATACAAACAAGCTATAAATTTTTATTTCAAAATTTAACATCGGTTGGTTTCAAGCATTTTGAGCGTTTGGATTGTAAACTGGTCGAAATTTAGTTTATGCCAATTGGAAAAATAACGGTTGATTTCATTCGTTTTGCGGCATTAATAACAACTATTTGGGTAAATACACGAATTACGTTGGTTGAACTGAATATAAATACGTTGGGTTTGGTAACGTAGCCAAAACTGGTCGAAAGACCAACTTGCCAATTCAGAATGTAAAAAATTTTGAATTTTCCATAATAGTTATGTACTTCAATTTTTACTGGAAACAATTATATATCTTTGCAAGCATTTGGCAAAAAGTAGAAATTATATAAACGCATTTTCTATTATTAATTTGCTTTTTGTTTTTTAGTATTAAATTTGCAGGTTCTTGTAAACGAACGAGGAGGGTCTCGCAAATTAAGGCTCAACTCAACGCCTACATACTATGCTTGGAACCGAGATTAACACAGCACACATCAACGCCCACTGACGACGATTGCGGTGTGGCCGCCCCTTGGGCTAAAACTCTTGCATGCAACATTTTGTTATATTCATCCTCACCGATGGGTCGCCACGAGCCCCTACGGTACGGTTTCGGTATCTGTCCGGTCTCAGCATGATTCGATAAGTTCATCACCAAATCCTCGAGCATTTGCGAGCGTGTACGCTCTTGCATGCGTGCAAATTTCGGCGCCGAATATGAGGCACGTTCACCATTAACGATTTTCGTGAGTAGCCATTCGCTGGAAAGAGAAATACGTATGAGAGCGCGCGCGTGTGTGTAGGTGAGTAGGTGTTCCAAATGAGTATAAAAAATGTTTAAAAGTGTCAGTAAGAGTTCAGTGTTCAGTGAAAATGTGATATCATGAAAATTTGCAAGTGTTAAACTACTTACCGAAACATTGTACCCTTCTCGAACACCGACTGCTCCCAGAGATACGGCTTGTAGGCGCCGACTTCATCGCGTGTCACCACCGAAACCTCATACCGTGTGGGTTTGTGTTTGATGCGAGCCGAGACACACACCTAGTGTGTGAATTGGATGAAATAAGCGCGTGAGAGTTATCGTTAGAGCGTACTCAAGCAGCTGTTTGGTGTTAAATATATAGTATTTATAAACTTACCAGTATAAATGTATGTAGGAAATGTGACTTAATGCAGGCAGGACTAAAACGCGTATTATCCGCTTCCAGAAATACCACACAGACTATATCGTTGCCGATATGACGTTTGCGTTGTAGCTTTTGCGGATCATGCTTCTCGTAGGGTAAGAGCGTGGATACATGAAACATGATCTCAATGTTACGCCAATTGGTGTAAACCGAATAGAGACCTGCGTGGGAGATATAAATATCATTATTAAAATTATAATTTTTTCCTCCAAAAAAAGTTTATATGTATGTATATAGCTCTCTTTAGCTCTTTATTTCACGCAATTCGCTCACCTGTCAAGTCATGCACCGTATCAAGGCCACCTTTGTATTTATCGAAACCACGTAAACGTACACGATCGCCGAGTAACGTTAGGAATTCATCAAAGAGTATAGAATTTTCGTTATTGTCTAAAATTTGCTCCTCAGAGAATTGATCCTCTTTCACATAAATCACACCCACTTTCAGCTCGGATTTTATAAAAACCTAAGTAGACGAAAATTGTATGTATCAGGCTATACTGCAGTACAGCAGAGAGTAGCGTAAAGATACGCTCATAAAAAGAGAGTAAGAGTGAGAGTGAGAATTCGTCATCTTTGAAAACTACTTTTGAGTAATCGGCTTTGATTGCTGTCTTTTGGTAAAAAATCTACTTTTCTTAGATACCTCTATTACTCTCTCTCTTTTTTCTTCGCCTCTAACTGCAACTCATACCTGATCTAGTTTCAGCAGCTCCTCGGGTGTATCGGGCAGTTGCCCTAGTGTTAGCGGTGGATTTAAATTAACTTCTTTACCTAGTGATCTAACTACTTCTTCGCGATTATATCTGCAAATTGAAAATTATTTCTCAGCTGGTTAGTTCATTGCGCTCTTACAAGCACTCGTACTCACCTATCGGCGAAGACACAGGACGCCGGTATCAGTCCATGTACCGTATACGAGCCGGCGCGTACCAATATACGAAATTGATCGCGTCCATTAAGTGTCTCCTGTTTGATTGAGAGTATAACGGGGCCGAGATCCTCATCGCTCGTAAAATAGTTCCAGTGTTCGGTGCCGTAAAAGTACTTCTCATATGTCTCCTGTTCGACGGAGATGAGCTCGAAGGCGCCCTGTTGATCCCATTGATCTTCGATTGTTGTCTTTTTCCTAGGACTTAAACATTCGTATAAAATTGTTCAACGAATGCGTGTGTGTGTGTGCATATGTGTTTGTATATGTGTTCATAAGCGGGGGGTGGCAACGAAATGGTGTTTGTTTATGTATTTGGCGTTTCGGTGGGCGGGGTTTTTGGCGTGGTGTAGCGGAAAGGGAAACAAAATGTTGGAGTTATTAAAAAATTCTGGTTGTTGCTAAATCTTTTGTTTTTTTGAATCTTCAAATAGCAAAAACAAAAATGTAGCGCCAATTGCAATTGGTCTAAAATTATTTTTCAACAGTTATTCTAGTGTTTGCTTGTATTTGGCGAGGTTTTACTACGGGATGCTACTAATTACTACTACTCATACATAAAGCTCTGTTTCTTTGCGAGCTCACCTTGGTGTCGCTTCCGAGTCCTCATCGTCCTCATAGAGATCGCTGCATTCACGCTCGAGATAAGCATCGCTGGAGCTGCCCGCTCGTATATCTTCGTGCTCTGAATCGCTTTCATCCCAATTCGTATGCAGTGTGGGTAATGTGATTTTCTGACGCGAACATTCAATCCAGTAGCCAGGTGTGGGCATGAGATTGTGCGGGTAATCTTCACAAAATTCATCTGTAATGAGTATAATTAAAAGGTATTGTGTATATCAGTTTACCAAAAGAGATCTAATTAGCTGCATTAATAATTTGAAAAATTTAAATGAGCTAGTGTCCTTAAATTATAATTAAAAATGATAGTCTTGGAAGCATTTTTCAGCTTAAAGTATAACTGGTCGTTACTGCTATAACTTTTTTCAATTGACTTTTTCGAGTGATGCTTTATTTTAAATATAAATTGTTCTTAAAGGAAATAAATTCATAATATCTCATTACTGCTGAAACTGTTATAAATTTCGTTGAGAATCAAAAATATTTCTTGCTTGAAAAAAGTTTTATACCAAAAATAGAACTGGTCGAAACTGGTATACATTTTTTCATGTGGAGTTTTTAAGCGACTTTATTATTATATATAAAAATTGTGCTTGGAAGAAACAAAATTAAATTATCAGAAACTGGTATAATACTTTTTGAGTTCATAGATAAATATTTTTCTTGTTTTAGAATAATTTGTTTACGTAAACTGTAATTTTTCGAAACTGGTACAACTTTTATAAGCTTTTGTTATAATGTAATGTTAATTTAAAAATCAATCGGAGAGAAATAACTTTCTATCAATGCGATTTTCCACTTAATATTATTATTTTATCTATAAATTTTGTTTGAAGTCGTATAAAATTTAAATATGCCTGCAATCAAAATACGCAATAAGAAACACGAAACAACGAAATTCAATGCTCAGCCGTCAACAATCATTATTCCTATTTGCTTTATTTCACGAAAAGTTCATTGCATACACTCAGGCGTAATGCACACAAGCCAATCAACTCTCCACTAACAAGCGAGTTGTGGCAACTAGAAAATCCAATCAACCGTAAGAAAAACCCAACGATGCGCCACAAAAATTGGCTGATTAGCGGCCACAGCACATGTGAAAACATTTCGCTACCAACACGGTTGGCATATGACAGTCTAAAAGTATGCTACGCCGAAAAATGTTGAAAAGCCCAAACGGACGAGCATGTAAGCATACTAGCTGAGTTTATGAGCAGTGAAGCGAATGTGCGAACACATTGGATAGTCACACACATGCGGATGCGGTGAGTGATAGCTCGTATGAACGCGACGAATATGTAGAAGAAAGAGAGCAAGTGTAAGAACTGAACAGTAGATGGATGAAAGGCTTAAGCCGCAAAATGGATGCATAAGCTATGCACATGCTATACAAAAGTGATGCTTCAACTACTCAAAGATGTATGCGGTTGGCTGAATTAGCTATCTCAACGAAGCGCCGAGGCAAGAGCGACCCTTGATAATGGCTTTGAAAAAGAACGAAAATATTTAGTGGCTGCGAGCGAAGGCTCGACATAAATGCACAGCAGTTAAGCTGGCAAATGCAGCTAACAACTAAGTGGCTGTAGAGCTCCATATATAGTTGGTTGAATTAAAGGACTAAAAAAGAGCAGTAGATGGCGTAAAGTGACGGCTTAAGGCGAAGAAAGAGATGTAAACCTGCCGTTAGAAAGAATAAATAGATGTAAGACTATGGCGTTGAAATCTATTTATTTTCAAGTATATTAAGTATACTAAAAACACACACGCACTTTATTTACACACTAAAAAATAGCAGCTTGTAATAATGCGTTATATACTTTGAGGTACGTCAACCAATTAAAGAATCCAATTAAAATGTAATTCGCGGTACTGCATGAACGCCATACAACAACCGTTTTTATGCGTGCGAGCACATACGCTTTACATAATCCTACCAGCACTGCGGTGGGGGTCATGCAAGTCATGTGCGTAATAAGTAGACAGCCTGAATGTAGGCAACGAAAAGTTGTAATAACTTGAAATGAAACTTTCCCATATGGTGCGCTCTGTGCGAAAGTTAACTTGCAAGATGTTGAAGGCAAAAAACAAAGATCCCACGCGTACAACACTAAATGAAAGGGAAAACATTAATGAGCTCCCGTCATAGCATTTCACTTTGATGGCTTCAGTCGAAAGACGCACGCAAATCGCTTAAGCATATTTTTGTTTTATTATTTAAGTAAATAAGTACACATTTATGTAATATGTTAATGTATTTATTACTGTTTTTGTAATTTTTCTTGCCTAATTAAATCACATTTTGTAAGCGTGTTCTCGCAACTGCTGTCACGCCTGACAGTGTGCTAAATGAAACATATTAGCGTAACCGTGAAGGGTTTCGCGTTAAGGCTTAAATCTACTTATATGAGCCGCTTAAAGGGGTCTCAAAAAGGCGGCTGAGAAGGGTTTGACGTCGATGTATGCACGTGTAAGTTAGTGCTCGAGTAATAGAGTTGTGGCGGGCATATTTGTGTAGGTTTATGTGTACATACACATGTACATATGTATGTAGTTGTTTGGAGAGAGCATAGAGTAGCAATGTATTTTGTGCAATCGCATTTTAGAGTCCTGACAATAATTTTATTCGAAACAAATAAGACTGTATAGTTCCTTATAAAGAATAAACGCAATTTTCAATTACTATATAAACTGGTCGAAATTTAATGAATACATATTTTCACTTTTGCGGCATTAGTATTTGGTTTCAAAACCCTTTTCTGTTAAAAAAAATAACTTTTACGATTTTTTTGAACTGGTCGAAAATTAAATGTATGTTTTAGACCTGAAAATACATTAAACTTTTCTGGTTCTAAGCTCTTATAATACACTAATATTTTATTGCAACAGTTTTTGTAAGTTGTAAACTGGTATAAATTAGTCAAAATTAAAAAAAATAAATAAATGAAAAGGATAAAGTTAAAATTTATATTAAAGACTGTATATTTGAACTTTGAAATAAATTTTTTTTTGTTATTTTGTGAACTGGTCTAAGTCCCTTTTTAATTGCATAGCTGTATGATAGCATGCTTTTTTAAATATCTTGGTATTCATTTTACAATTTAAATCAAATTCAAAAACTTCTTTAATTACAACAATAAAATGTATTTTGTAACAACTTAAATAACTCTCTATGTACATACACATACATACATATGTACTTGTATGTACATACATTTTTATGTACATGTAGATTCTAGGTCTATCTCATATGAGAAGATAAATTGTCATATTACAAGACCTCTTTCTGTTATTAGAATTCAATTAAAGAGACTTCCATTCATGCCATATTAAATTTTCCACAAAATGGCTACTTTAAGCCGACTGGTATAATTTAAAAAGCGGTCCAAGCACTTAATGCACGTTTCAAAATTATTATTTCTGCACTTTATAAAGCTTTTCAGCAACTAAATAGCACTTTATAAAACTGGTATAAACTGGTCGAAAATTAGACATTTAATGTTTTTCGTAAACTGCATGTATGGTCTTTTTTCTCACGTGTACTTCCAAACTCAATGCCTCACGTGAGATTTTTAGCCATTTGATCACTTCCGAGGTGGTCCTTTTAGTTTATTTATACATACTTACATATGTACCTGTACACGTGTATCAATACAAATTAAAATGTATGTGTGTGAGTCAGAAATTTAAAAATCGCGCCACATGTGCACACTTTTCCAATCAATTTTTGTTTGTACACATCAACCATAACTTTTTAACGCTTTCGTAGTACGCTACTCAGGCATCGTGCCGTGTATATAATATTTAAGCATATGTTTGCTTGGACGTCAAACACATAAAAACAGTTTATGGCTGCAATTGAAGCCAAAGCGTTTCCCACATTTTATTATTTATATTTTACTTCTCTTTTTTCTTGAACTATAAATTATTTTTATATATTTTTTTAAGCTTTTACGTAAAACCGAAGAAAAAATACTGAAAAAATAATCATAACTTTTTGCAACAACAATTTTTCATATTAAGAAAAGCGTGGAGGTTGAGAACTTTGCCAGTAACTTGGCGGAAACAAACTGTGTGTCCTAAGATGTAGGTGTATACAAACATATATGTATGTGCTTGTTTGTTGTATAAGCTGTTGTTGGTGGAAAATGTGGCGCGCTCAATACGTGGGCGAGGTATAAAAGTTGTAAAGAAAAAGTAGTTGAGAAAGTAGCATAAAATGTAAACATAAAAAAAAAAACGCAGCTAAAGTGGAATGAAGGTACGCAAAAGTGCGTAAGTAATAATAAAACAGTGAAAAACTTTGGTTGTGGAAGTAGTCAGACAACAAAAAGATATGAAGAGTCATAGTGAACAGGAAATTGGATAGCAAACTGTTACACCGAGAAACTTAACTTGTAGCTTAGCGCTGGCTTATAAGTGAAGGAAAAGCAGCACGGAAATTGACTAATATAAAGCAGAAGGAGCTTGCATGAGATGAACTTATAATCGCGGTAGTGGGATGTGGCTTATTAAAATGGCACTAGTTAGGCGCCGAGATAAACGCAAAGAATAATATAGCACTTTCAAGTAGGATAAATGAGCTTAAATTGTATAAAATAATACTACGAAATACGCTTAGTGTATGTAAATTAAAAATAATATTAATTTGAAAACTCGTATAAACTGGTATAAGTATGAAGTATCGATTATAAACTGCGTAATTTTGCACTAAAAATTGCAAATTGTTTTCTTTATGCACTAGTGCAAATATATGAAAATTCAAACTGGTATAATAAAGAATACAACCTAAATTCATGGTATTGAGGTGGATAAACAAAAAAATTGGTTGCATAAATTATATTCGTATTAGGTCTCTCTATCACTCAATTGCGTGACAATAAAAAAATAAAACTGGTATAAAAAATTATACAACTACATCACATTGAAGTGCGTAGAAAAAAATCTCATAAGTTGATATTTAAAGTGCGAATAATTTTTGACTTGATGCTACATAGTTTAGCAACTGGTATAAATGTACATTTTCTCTAAAATATGCTTTAAAGTTTACAAAAGTACTCCGAGCAGCTTTAAATGCATGCAAAGGCTTCTTAGAAAAGCACATATATATAATATGCTCTAACTAAAATCTCGTATGAAGCGTTAAGAATATTTTTTGGCTTTTTAAACGACTTTAAAATAAAA